GCTTGAAAAAACATGTTTAGCGATGTGATTGTAGATTTTCTAGTTTTTAAAACTGTAGTTGGTGGCTGATATACTAGAATTCAATGACATGTTTTCATGTTGGAATTCAAAGTGAGGTCTCAGGGTGTAGTTCATGGATGTTTTATCCAGAGAAAAAGCTGACCTAAATGATTACTTCCACATAGCTTATCTTATCACCTCTATCATTCTGCCTATGTAATAGTTTGATATGCAAGTCTTCAAATAAGATTAATGAAAAGATCCAAGTGAAGAACAATTTAACCTTCCTACGCTTTCCTAAAATATTTAAAACATCTTTGCTGCTAGAAGAAATGTTCATGGAACTACAACTTGCATAACCCTTTCTGGTTCTGTCTCTAAATTTCAGCCTTCATATATTTGGACAAAGCAATGCCTATCCTTTCTGTAGCAGCAGAGATGACTGAAGGTGAAAAATGATACAAATTTCATTTGCTAATGACTCACAAACCGTCCTATATTCCCACAAGATTTTTATGATGTAAAAACATTAAATATATTTAACGTAGCAAATAACCAGTGGAATATTTACAAACAATTTTCATTTCAGTGATTTTATATTCTACTCTAATCAAGCCAGAGAAGTTTCATGGCTTCCCCCCACCCCGATTTTATGCCTGGAAATAGAAGAACAAAGAATACTAGGGGTAATTTCTGAAGAGCAAAAGCTGTTCCACAAATTACCGCCATACATATGGAAATAACAGCCATTGTACCTACGCAGCTATTTTCCCAATTACATTCATATGAAGGGTTATGAAGAGGAAGTAACAATAACTAGAGAACTGGGAATACTGCTGGTGTAGTTTTCACTTAGCCTTATCAAATAACAATTTATCATGCCTAAGCAAGGACACAAGAGAGGAAGCAGCCAGTCTAAATTTCCTCCTTGTTGTAATTGTCCCAAGATCTAATGCTAAGTGCTGCTACAGTTGCTTCAATTGTGACATTTCCTTTATTCATTTCAGGGAGAGTTCCACAGACACACAGGTCATGGGACCCCACCCTTAGTGGGTCAAGGACACAAAGTAGCTACAAGCTCTTCATAAACAGGTAACCTAGATTCATATTCCTAAAAGATGGAAGCTGTTTTATTACCAGGTGAAGCAGACAACTACTGTGGCAATGTCATTATCAGAAAATGCCTGGATCACCATCTGAACCTGTTTTGATAATAGATACTGTTTATATAAAATTAAAGTGCACCTAGGCTCAGTTTGGCTCCAACTGAAACAGTCCAAATGCTCTAGTGAAATGGAGCTTAGGCCCTGAACAATCCACACAAAACAAGCACATTGAAGTTTTCCACCTTCGCTCTTTACCACTGTGTTCTGCTGGGTGTCACTGACTTCCCAGAACATCTGCCCCTAGTGTGTCTCCCATCAGAATCGGACAGGTAAGTAGCAATAGCTTGCCGTGGCTGAAACAACTGGGAAGCATCTCCACAGAGTGTGGAAGGGAAAAACCTGTTGAGAAGGCATGAACAGTCATTGCTTTCACTGGCAAGGCATTCTGCAGAGTCCGTATTTGTCTACATTCAGATTTTGGATCTGGTCTTGCCTTGCTCTCACATTAGCAGAGGCCTGATGTGTTCTGGAGTTATGACAGACCATGTATATGATTCATCATTTTCAGTGGTTTGTTTGCATTTCCATCTCAATTCTTAGATTGATTTGTCTCACTTGTGTCAGCCATATGCAGCCCTGCACTGCTACTTTATTGAAGAGTTATAGGTAACCCAGGGATGCAAGCAGTAAAGACCTCTGGTCTGTCATGAGGATTAGCCTCATTTCAGCTATGGCATGTACAACAGCTAGGTAGACATAGACAAGGAAAGCTAAGAATTGTACAACTGATACTAACTCCTTTTCAAAAGCCAGAGAAACACCACTGCTGCCAAACAAGAGTTTTCTAGACTGGGCGTTAGCATAGTGCAGCTGTAATGATGGCTGTTTCCAAATGAAGAAGAGATGTAAGTACTGTTAGCCTCTGGGCACCACAAAGACCAGAATCCCGTAGTTAAGCACCATGTAATCCCTACTAACATCCCATTTAAATTGAGTTCTTGACCCAGTTAAACAGGAGTTTCTCCTTTTAACCATGACATGAATAATTCAGGCCTACAGGAAATGCTCCATTTAGATCAACTCCCAATTAAATGTATCCCAAGTAAACGGTTTGAACTTCCTGATAAATCAGCCACAATAATCCAAGCAATCTGAGCTACCCTAGTATACCTCTAAACCTGCAATAAGAACGAACTACTAGCAGGTTACAGGATAGTGGTGGCTTTTGAAGAAAGAACTCTCTATCTACCTGTCTGACTACATACACATACATATGTGTGTATACAAACATCTACATATGCATCACATACTTGGCAATTATAATGGTAACAGATTTATCTACTGAGTATTTTGGAGCAATTTCCATGTCTCTGACAACAAACCTGGGTATCATCTTGATATCCTTGATCTAAAATCATGCTGCCAAGAAAATGTTCCGTCCCCCACCCCACCCTCCGCTGAAAGATGAAATCTTTTCTCCAAACTTCCAGCAAGCTATTTCCCACAGAACTTCAGGGACTGTAAACCCCACTTTTTGATTGCAAGCATCTGCAACTCAGTTTCTACCAAGGTCACCATCCTATTGTAAGTACCACGACAACGGTGGAGCTGAAATACTTATTTTGGAAACCACCAGTTTCTCATATAGGAGGACAACCAACACAAAACTTAGTGACGGGTTTACTATCTATTTCTTACTAATATCATCATGCTCAACTCTGTAAGCAACCCAACTAATATAATTTACATCTTAAAGTTAAGCTTGTAAGTGTATGCAGGACTATGGCCTATATATAAAGAGGACACAGCTGTCAAGTCTGGATCACTCTCCTCACAGGACTAATAACAGGAAGTGTTTTCCACAGGAAAAGGAAGTCGTCTTAATACAGCATCTTGGGTTTTGAGCTAATAGTATTTTAATACCCACAAAAATCACTTCAGGTCATTTTTAGGCATATTTCTTAGTTAAATGTTGATCTTTATGAGGTTGTGTTGACAGAAACAAAAATATCTAGATATCATTATAGACAGAAGAGTGTAAACTAGGATAGAATAGAACAGAATGTAATAGTTCAGTTGGAAGGGACCTGCAACAGTCATCCAGTGCAACTGCCTGACTGCTTCAGGGCTGATGAAAAGCTAAAGCATATTATTAAGGACATTGTCCAAGTGCCTCTTAAACACTGATGGGCTTGGAGCATTGACCACCTCCCTAGGAAGCCTGTTGCAGTGTTTGGCCACCCTCTCAGTAAAGAAATCCTTCCTAATATCAAGTCTGAACCTCCCCTCCCATGCATCGTGGCACTGGATACCAGGGAGATCAGCAACTACTCCAGTAACTTTGTTAAAAACCTTTTGAAAATCCCTGAATAGTTCCCTGAAGCAACCCTGCAACATGCAAAAGAAAAGGATAAAACTTTGGGGTAACAAAAAACTTCTGCGTGACTTGGGCATTTGTTAAAAATGTTATTAACAGAAATCCACCTCAACAAAACCTTTCCTTCTATACCATATAATCATTGTTTCCTCACTGGTAAGAGTATATATTATAAGTTTGTTCTAAGTATACATGTGTCTGCTCATATGGAAAACACCATTACTTTATGGGTTATAAGTACAGACATAGATAAAAAGACAGCTTTTTGATCTGAGATTTCACGCATCTTTCAATTAAATTGAAAATTCCCTCAGTTCCCTAATACACTAATTTATTCTAATGAATTAGTATTCAAATAATTTAATTCCCATTTGTTAAAAATTCTGAAAAATGTAACAACAAATGTTATGATTTTCTGAAGATTTTTTTGCTTCAGAAAATAAGAAATGAGGAATTGACTTTATCCTGTAGAAATCCTAGAAAGGCATGCGGCTAAATTCTTTGCCTGTTGGCTTCACCAGAATTAAACCAGCTAGATCTGGCTCAGCAAATGCAAAAAAAACCCCCAACCTGTTATCGAATTAAAGCAGTGTTTAGATTTATTTATGAAGTACATCAGAAATATTATCCCTGTTAAATTATTTTTCTTCTTCTGTAAAGAAACATTTAACAACTTATAACTGATATTGCCCTAGATTCCACAGTGTTGTGCAAGTCAAAGTACCTTAAACTCTTTGTTCTCCAGCCTGTGTTGTTTTGATTGCATGCTATATATTTTGCTCACAATGACATTTCGTTTGAAGGTCAGTCAGTGCTGTAGAAGAAATCCCTGGTGGAACTCAGAAGAACAGCAGACAGAACCTGCTAAGTTTAGGTTCCACCTTCTCTGTGTCTACAAAGGATTACACAGCAACTGCTGCATCACAGAAATGTTTGTTCCACAGGAAGGAAAAGGTGACTAATGAAAAACGTATAAGCTGATTTCAAAATGTAAATATCACTAAAGAGAAACCTCTCATCCAGTTGTTGTTCACCAGTGATGTACATATTGGCTACTGAGTCATCTTATTAGATGAGTATTCTAAACTGACAGCCTTCAAATTAGGCATGATCCAGTTGTGATAACTCAGAACTGAAGGCAGTGAAAGCCCTTGTCCATAAAGCCTAAGCAAAAGCTTATAATTGAACCCTCTCTGACCTACATGTGTGATTTCTGCAAACAACAAACACCATATGGACTGTTTTCATCAACCACTTTGAAAGGAGCTTCAGAACAGCAAAAACATTTACAGAGACACTGAAACTACTTGCTGGTCAACAGTGCTCAGAGGACTGAAATTTTTTTACAGTGTATGTCTGGACAGAAAGCATAGGCTAGCAGTGAGTGTGGAAAACCAATAGTTAACCTAAGGGTCTATTTCTGGTTGCTGATTTGTTGTAGGACACTTTTAAATAATGTTTCTTTGGCAGTTGGATCACAAAAATCCAGAAATCTCTGAATCACAGAAAGCTCCACAATGCTGCTGCCCATGGAGCTTTCTGCTGTAGAAGTAGAAGGAACAGGTTTCAGGCTGGTGAGTTTTCACCTGTTCCCAGTTCACAGGCTCAACTTTGATCAAGAGTTTCAGTTATGATACTTTGGAAAATTATCTTTTTATATGTAAATTTATTCTTAATTTTTGTTAATATGATTTTTGCTGGAATAATAATTGAATTCCTCAGAAGGAGTTCAGCAACTGTTACAATAAAGTGCTAGTCTCTCTTTATATGTGATACAAAACTGCACTGTCTGTTGGCAGGAGGTTGCTAGTATCATGAAATAAACCATAAATTTTCTCAGAAAAAAGACCTAAATGGGTCAAGGTACTATGTCACAGAGAATGTTTGGAAGGATCCACATCTTGCCACTTTCTGTCTGCTTCAAGGATCTATCTAAAAGCATAGAGAAATGAAAAAAACCCCAAAAAACAATATGTAAAATTCCTTGAGGTGGATGCTCATCAAGAAAAAAAGCATCTTGTGCTGTTAAACTTTGTTGAAGATAAAACAAAAGAATACAGTGTCTACTAATAAGAAATATCAGTCAACCTTTCTTACAGGGAAGAAAGCAGCTCTGCATTTTTGTCTGGTTCCCTGTGAAAGCTAGGCTTATGAAATCAGTGGCTGTCCTCGTAGTAACTTGGGAATCAAATGGGTAAAGGTCTCAGAAGAAATTAAGATTCTATAAGGGTCATGAAAATAGATGCCTTGCAAAGGAAACGGGTCTTGGTTAAGTGCCTCTACAGAAGAAAAGGCTTCAGCATGAGCTTACCCCTAATTAGATCCCAGAGAGTCCACACAGGAGAGGCCACAAACAGAAAGAAGTCTTCAATAAGCATTTGCACCTTATTAGACACTGAAGTCAATTAGCTACAGCATACAGAGCGACAGAAATGTGTTTCATTGGTATTGGTGTTTGGGATCTTTGTTATGTTAAGGAGACATTTATTAAATTTCTAAATTGCGTCCTTACAGTTTTCAGGTCCAGAATTTATTATTTTGTCTAGTGAACCACCAGTGACCTTGCAGCTGCCTGGATCAATTGTGGTAAGTATGAGCATTAAGAATTTAGAACTAATCTAGTGAACTTTTAGTTCTGGCTCTTCGTAAGTTGCATCTGAGTCCCAACCCAGTATTCTTGCCATGTCCTCCTCCAAACCATGTTAGGGTTCCTACAGATGTATTGAGACTCAAAAGGAGGTAATTTAATTCTTAGTGCTATTTCTCTTATTATTTCTGTTGGCGTGAAAATAGCTTAATTTATCCTTCTCAGTTAAGAATGCTCACTCTAGCACAAGACTTTTGAGATGAAGATTACACAGCAAATATGCAATTTGACATCTAGTGCCAATGTACTGGACTCCTCCAGATTGCAGACACATCCCCCACCTTTCATTAAGAGAAGGTAAAAGGCTGACAGCATACAGCAGTAAAAATGAGGGGAAAGAAAATTTGGTAATACCCTTAAATCTAGAATAACCCTGGTGACGGTAGAGTCTGAGTATGGTCAACTGTTTTCTGGGGATTCCCTAGGTTTTTTAAAAATTAGAGATGTTTGGGATATTAATTTATGAGAAGGGAGGCAGGGAATAGCATAGCGTAGTGGCCAATTCCATCAGGTTACATAGAGACCGGAGACCAGGGAGCCTCAGTAATAAAATGCTGTGCAACTTGCATTGCTTGTACTTGGCACTCATTCTTCATTCTTTGTAATGTGTTCTTAGACTAAAAAAGGGAAATCCTACTTGTCCCAAAGGGATCTCAATGTGATTCTACTCAACGGGCAGTGCCTTGAGGTGCAATGTGACATCAAGTCCAAAGCAAGAGATGTTTTCAACACTGTGGTGGCATATGCAAACTTGGTAGAACATTTCTACTTTGGCTTGGCTTACCTGAAAGGTAATGAGACACAGCTAACTACAGTAACAGTTCTCTCCCTCGATGCATCTGTAGTCACTTTATTAATGAATCCCAGTAAGATCTTTTAAGATCCTCAGATGAAAGCAGATCCAAAGCTTAAGCAAAAGTAAGGTACGTTGGTTTAAACTGTACTAAGCATGTCTACTGTGCATCAGCATAGCCATACTGTTATGGGATGATATTCCCATGCAGAAAAGGCTGTGTCCCAGCCTTGCACTGGTATAATACTGAGCCATGTAGTTCCAGCAGAAATTCCAGGAAGCACTGTCCTGAGGAAGGCTGACTGTCTTTGTTCCTCCATATAAGTTGGAGTGCAGGCTCAGCTATTTCATCTACAAGACCCACGTCTCCCTAGCCCATTTCTGATGACAAGCATAGCTGAGGCACTAGGAAGAAGTATATCTTGTGTACAGGGCATGAGGATTACAATGGGGTGCAGAACCTGAATGGTGAGCAGAATGCAAGCACCATCAATTCTTGAGCGATTCCATAGATGCCACACCAATCCAGCATCTAAAAAAGGTAATCCTAAATTACACACTGTGTTATCCTAAATTTTCCACCAAAGAAGCAATGTTAAGCCATGACACAGAGAATAAATCTCAGCTGACGTCCATGATCCATTTTATTTTTTATTGCTAGTAACGCACTGAACAAAGACAGTAGAACTTTGAGCTATTGAAGTATCTTCAGACTTACCGCAGAATCCAAATTTCTCATTTCAGGTAAAGAATTCTTCTTTTTGGATGAGGAGACCAAACTCTACAAAGTGGCACCAGATGGCTGGAATGACCAACCCAAGAAGAAAACCTCCATTATTTTTCACTCTTTCTAAGGATAAAATTCTTTGTCAACCACTTTAATGTTATCCAGTAAGTGCATGTTCTACTGACTGCAGGAAAACCAGTAGCATTTAGGGTCACTGTTCAAGGCTCCTCCTGTGTTCCTAAACCCTTTTGTGTTCCAGGCACGGCTTGACAAGGCATCAGTTTTACCTGCAGCTTCGTAAAGATATTTTGGAGGAGCGATTATATTGCAATGATGAGACTGCCCTGAAACTTGGCGCTTTGGCTTTACAGGCAGAGCTTGGCAATTATGCTTCTGAGGTGTGGATAAATAATACAATATTTCTTGGAGGTCTCTCTCAACAGCTTTTGCAGCTTTTGTTTCTCACATAGAGTTTAAGGAAGAAATGTGAATAGCACATCATTTCAGCTAAGTCCTTCAGTAATCACATTTCAGATTTATTTTAAAAAATTACAAAATTTGCCTAATTAAGGAGCAGTAAAGAGCCAGACAAATCTAGCCAGAAACACAGCAGAATGATGAAAGACTCTTGGTCCTTCGTAATTGATAACACAGCCCAGAAAATTCAGAAAATCCATAGAAAATTTCAAACATAGGCACAGCTTGGATGTGTAGAGGGGCTTAAAGAGATTAGAAAACATGGTAGAGAAAAATAAATAAACACTCCAGAATGCACAGCTATTTTATGTGTAGGCTCAGATCCCCATTTATGTCCTCTGCCATATCTTCAGTTGTGTAAATCAGTGTAGCTCTATTAATTGAACTCTGAGTGGTGTGATCCATCTGGTTGGATCAATCCCAGCATTGGGTCCTCCATTGTGGGTTGTACTGATGCAGCTGTAGCTGTCAGCTCTAAGTGCAAGAGTTCAGGCATGCCTGTAAGCCCAGCTCTTTTCTCCCCTCTGCGCAGAGTAGTAGTGTGTGCTTTGAGCACCTGGCTGAGCATAGATGCAAAAGCCACATTTGTCTGTCAGGACACTATCTGTTTTTCCCCCTCTTCTTTTAGGAAACAGCAACAGGGTGACTTCAGCACATGGGTCACCCTGAAAATGGAAATGCACCAAATAAGAAAAGTCAAAAAAGAATAAAAGGCTTCTCTCTCTCTCTTTTTTTTTAATTTTTTTTTTTTCTCCCAAAGATGCATGGAAAGAGCTATTTTCGTGTTGAAGACTACATTCCAGCAAGCCGAATAGAGAAACTGACCCTAGCATATGTACAGCGAGAGCTTGCTAAATTACACCGTATGAATCGTTCCCTATTTGAGGATGAAGCTGAACTAGAATTTTTAAAGGTAATTTGCCATACCCCAAACATTATTTAGTTAGAGAAAGCCCCTCTCTATTTACCATTGTCTATTATTTCCTTCTTGCCTGATACAGTAGATTTTAGATATGGTGAACAAATTTGAATAGTCAAGAAAAAACTCAGAATTTCATTCTGCTATAGGTACTGTCACTGTCAATAACTTACATCACATTTACTGGTAGGGTTCCCCTCACTGATAGCTTATAAAGGGTTAATGCACATTTGAGGATATTTTCAAATCCTAAGGGTTGATGCAAGTTTTCAGCATGTTACCAACCAGTCTATGTTAGAGATTACTATAAATACACCTATTAGAGATTATTATGAAACATGGGAATAAGCACTTCCTTGACTTGTGAAACTATAGCAACTGTTCAGCCACTTTCTAAACATGTAGTGATTATTTCTTTTAAAATACCTGTGAACCCTGGAAGTGAGAAAAGAGTTATGTGAAGTATTTTCTCACATGACTATTTCCCTAGGGCTCTAGAGTGTCCAGGTGATGTGGGATTGAATTATTTTTCCCCTAACTTCTCCTTCTCCCCCAAACTTATCCGCTTTCCATCAAACGAAAAATATCAGGGATTAGATAACTGATAAATATTAGTAGCCATTTTGCTGCAGTGCTACATGCTTTTATTTATAGCATCATTTTAGTTCAGTTGCTGTTTAATTATGTTAGTTTCTCATCTAATACTGTCAGTGGAATTGAAGAAATAGACTGAAGTTTAGCCTTAATGACAGACCCATCATGCATGGCAAATCCAATGAAGAAAAGCAGCTTTGTTAGTATCTGTTCCAATGAGTAAGTCTGTAGAAGGAGCCAACACATCATACAAAGTGAGAAAGATAGCCCCCATGGCAAGAACATGCAAATTCCAAATATGAAAGGGATTAAAAATTAAAATCCAGATTCAGCTAGTGATTATAGATGCCCCAGTTTTCAGGACCTAAACATTTGTGCTCTGCATACTTTTTGAAAAACAGATCTTCTTAAAGTGTTTTATTTTGATCACTGAAAATCTCTATTCACGGTTGAAAAGTCATTCGGGGATTTGACCTTAGTTTACCAGAAAAAAAAAAGTTTTAGAATAAACTCATATTGATCTGCAGATAACAAAAGATGACAGAAAACCCTCCTGATATTCCATAGTTCTGTAAAGGGTCTGAGTCACATTTTGAAATTTTGTGGCCAAATGCAGGAGGTAGAAAGGCAAGCAGCAACACCCAGAACCTCTGTGTGAGTTCCTCAGGTTATCCTCTGCACAGTCAGATGTCAGTGGTAGAAGCTGGCTCCTTAGTCTCTTGAAGTATAATCCTACTTAACTTTTCACCCAGCAATGAGCACTGTGCAAGAAAGAAGTGACACTGAAGATCTGTTACTATAAAATCTGGCACCGAAGGGAATTTTGGGGCAGTGAGATTTCTTCAAAAGTCACCACCATGTTTAGGTGAGATACTTTGAGGTACAATTTAGCAAACCCTGTGACTTCAGATTCTTGGCAATGGAAATTTATAATGTCTGATTTTAATAGATGGTAGCCATGAAGCAATGGGAATATGTACCTGAGTGAATTCATTGCAGGCTGGGAGCTGTGGTGTCACTGCAGTTAAGATTTCCAGTTGGTCATCACTATCGTAGAAAGGAAACCACACAAGCCCATAAGAATGTCAGAGTAGCCCTGGCACCAAAGTATTAGCAGTTTTACTAAAACCATCATATTTGGTGTACTTGTATTTTCTGGGTTTGCTCAAGGAAACAAAGATACAGAAAGGAAAATGGAAAGAAATGAGGTTTAACACTAGTCAAGCAGTATTAATCCTGCATGGATTTCTATTCAGAAATGCATACAAGTGCCAAGTAGCAGTAATGCTGAGTATCTCAATGCCACTACAATGTTTAGATTATTGTGTAGGAAGCTACATAATCCTCCTACCTCTTCCAATGAGGTGTGTGGGAAAGCGTTATTTCAGTTTTACACATGGAAAATGAAAGCATGTAACGGCTCTATGGCATACCAAAGTAAGGTGGTGATTCTGTGAGGCAGTAGGTATGAAAATTTGGTAAGGATTTTCAAAGGTTTCCTCATAGAGTGAAAGAATATTCAGTAAGGACACTCAAAACCATTTCCTCTCCCATCTACCCACCTTTTCTCCCCATGCCTCTTTTTGAATAACCCATGGTAAATGCACTTTTTCTCTACAAGGTGATTCAGCAACTCCCTGAATATGGAGTGTTATTCTATCGTGTGTCCCAAGAGAAGAAAGGAGCAGGAGGGGACATCATCCTGGGAATCTGTGCCAAAGGCATCATTGTGTATGAAATCAAAAATCACACAAGAATTGCCAGTTTAAGATTCCAGTGGCGTGAAACAGAGAGAATTTCAGCTCATGTGAGTTGGAACCAAGTTAATCTCTTCTCCACTCTACTACTTTACTCCCCTTCTGCCTGTCACTTTGATAAATTTATTGCATTCAGAGCCCAGAATTAGACTCATTTTGTACAGGCAAGTCCTTTTTGAAAATAGTCTAAAATTAAGGCTGGATCTGGTTGTAGATACCAAGATATCCAGTTCTTAGTGAGGTTTAGTTCTGGAGTTTTTTTGTCAAGGCTGGAGTAAAATTACTGTAAAATTGAATAATCTGGTGTCGACTGTTACCAAGACTATGTCAAATCACTTTATGGCATATTCCATACTCATTCCTCTCTTGTCTTTACTTCTCTCTTTTCTTTTATTTTCCTACCATCAGGTCAGGGGATCATGTCTCCCTCTTTTCAGATCTCATTATTCCCATTCTCATCTCCTAGTATATTGATGTCTGTTAACAAACTGGTATTGGTGGCAAGATTGTGACCCCTTCTAAATGATATTCTGCCATCAGAGGTGTATCAGTCTACCATCATACAGTGTAGGTGTCAACCTGCATCACACATATCCCAGCCTGTTTGCTCCCCCCAAAACGTCCCTTCTGCCCCTTGAAGATATTTTCATTTTCACATTAAATGAGTTTAATCATTTTAACATCTGTAGGGCCAAATTTTGCCAGTTCTATCAACCTGCTCTCAATACAGTCAGTGTCCAAAGGCTCTTGATTTTCAACATAGGGCAGTTATGATCCCAACGACAGACACCCACTAACAACTGTTGAATTTACAATTATGACAGGCATTCACTGCACCCAAAAGGCATGCAGCCAGGCATAAATACAATCAGACAAACCAACAAGATTATATAAATGGACTTTCAGTGCTTCAGTGTAAAGACTGATACATGAAGCAAGCTGAGGGTTTTTTTTTTCCCTTTAGAGAAAAAAATTCATGATTGAAAGCAGCTTCAGTGGCAAGAAACACACCTTCATTACTGATACAGCAAAGACATGTAAATATCTACTGGACCTCTGCTCTGCCCAGCACAAATTCAATGCACAGATGAATTCTAGGCAACTTCGGCAAACTTCATCAGGTGAGGTATAAATGCACTTTCGTTATTCAGGCCATAGGACAAGGTTAGGTTTTAGGAAAGGTGCATTCAGTGAAGCTGAGAATCAGAACCTGCCACATTAGTTTTACTGCGCTTCAGTTTCTCATTTGCAGACTAGAGAATAACGTCTCCTACTTCACTGGAAGTTAGAGGTGTGCAAATCTAATCATCTAGTGTGTGCATGTGAGTGGACACGTGCAGGGGGTGGAGAGGGGTTCTCTGGTGATAATAACTATGTAGCTAAACTCAGATTTTTTTTTTTAAAAAAGCTTGGTTACACTTCCCTTCAGGGAACCTGCTGAGAATTCTGAAGAAACATATCAGACTGAATTTAGTTAACTAGTTATCTTTGCATAAGACAGGTTCAACCCTACAGTTCAGTCCCAGGGCAAAACCATCAGTCATGCCAACTCAACTGTGTGGCTGCTCTTATCTTAGATTTGGCCATGTCTCTGGAAGATACTACTAATACCTTCTTAGAGTTCAGATTTCCCATGGTTTCTAAGACAAGTTTCTGCTCAACCCAGGGCATAGCACTTCTCACCATGCTCTGTAAAGACGGAGGATCATTAAGGGGAAACCTAGGCACATAAGAAATAACAGCCTAAGCTGACAACTGTCATCACTCTTGACTTCGGGATCACAACATGAGTTTCCGCTAGTTCATCCATTGCCTTGAACATAATCATGATCATTTACAACCACTGAGTATCTGACCCAGTGAATCACAGCAGGAGAATCAAGTGTCATGCCTTATCTGCTGGGATACTCCTTTCTTTAGTAAAACTGTAAAAGTGTTGGCAACAATTTATATCACAGGATATAACAGGATGATTAATATATTGCTTCTTTCCCACTACAATTATTTAATGAAAAGGGAAATTTCATCTGCATGAATTTTATTACCATGGAAAAAGGCACTAGGACGACATTTAAATTCAAGGCACCTTTTGTTCCTTGGGCTTCTGTAGCTTCAAACATAACTTAGTGGGACTGTGATTTGTAGCATACAGTGAGTGCTAATAGTGAATTTTCAAGTTTCCTGTGTCACGTTTGCTTGTGGCAATATATCTTAAAAAAAATTACTACATTCCATATATAAGAGAGCAAAAAGATTGAGAGCTAAGAAAACTATAACCCAGGTCCTGATTAAAAGCACCCCAAATCACTGAAACAAGCCAGACTCACACAAGCCATGTGACTGCATGTTCTAAGGTTCAGTGTGTGCTTGCTGTCCCAGAAAAAAAAGCTTTGTGAAGGCAATGACAGACAGTAGTTCAAAATGCTGCCTTTGCCCCCACAGCGAGGCTGCAAAAGATTATAAGGCTCTTTCTGCACGAGGGATACTCTTGCTTCTGCTGCACTGTTCAGATGTTTAAATCCCCATCCCTTCAAAACTTGCTAGAAACCCCCTACTTTGAAATCACTATGACAACTCTCAGACTGCTGCACTAATACTGTGGACAGTTAAGCCTTCTGTTGCCTTAACAAATGCCCCTGATCAAAGTCACTGAGGAAAGAGGGAGCCTAGGTTTAATGCTGCAGAGTAGCATTATAGAAAGTTGCATTCAGACTAATATTTGTTAGGACATGGGAGGTCAGCTGTCATGTACAAGCAGAATTAAAGCCTGTATTTGTGCTAGCCTGTACCAAGCAGAGTTCTTGTTTTATTTTCTGACATATTCCCAATTGCCTGCTGTCCCTTTCTCCTTCATATCCCCTCTCCAGCCCACCAGGTGAGAACCTGAATTAACTATGTCTCCTCCTGCATAGCAAGCATTACCACCAAGATGGTCCCCTACTCAACTTCACTTGTGCAAATTACTTGGAGCAAACAGCCAGCTCCTTGGCCCCTCCCTGAACTTGAAAGAGCATGTGTTAGTAGAGCTACTGTCTTCTCAGATATATGAATATCGGAGTGGTGGGCCCGTGAAGAATGGGAAACTACCAACCTGGCTAATTCAGTCTCTGTCAAGAGATATTTCTCATACACCGAATGCTTACAAAACATACTTTACAGAGATATTCAGGTTTAAATTATACGGGGTTGTACATTTCAACTGTCTTTGTAGAAAGTGAATTTGCAGTATAATTCATAGAAAAGAAATCTAAATACAGTGTGTATTTTCCATGAAAGAAATGGATTGGAAACATTTTCCGCTCGCTCCGAGGCCTTGATATCCTCTAGAACAAATACATCTGTGATGTCAATCTCTTTTGCTGGCATGTTCAAAAGGTTAGACAGAAAGCACCTTTGAGCTTAAAAAGGTGGGATAATATCAGTGGATTTATCTTTTGTTCCTCCTCCTTTCTCCCTTCTTATTCAGAGGAAGGCAAATTTGTGGAAATAGACAAATCAAATTCTGCATATGCAGCTCAGCGTGAACACCTTGCCCTGATTCAGAGACTGTCTCGTTCAGAGAATGTGCTCTATGGAGCAAACCTGGAAAACCTTTCTGCTGGGATGATGAGCAAATCTTGTGACAACCTCAGTGTGGAAACCAACAGCAGGACTAGAGATAAAAGCAATCTGGGCAGGTAGGTTTGCTTTTCCCTTTAAACATGAGTCAGTCATAGACTGCATCATTGCAAACCTCTATAGTAAACTGTGAGGCAGACTATTTTTTTTACAGTATTTATTGCGGTCATACCACAAGGCCTGGGGCTCCATGGTACCAGCAGTAGTGCAAACACAGGCAGGAAGCTATCAGTCTAACAGATAAGACCTTGAAAAAGAGTGACATTTAAATTTGTACCAGACTCAGGAATGAATGACTTATTGGGTTATGGAGAGGGGTAAAAATAAGGGAGAATAAAAGTAAGATCCTTAATATCTGTGTATCTTCTCTGGAAATGGCAGTATGTGAATTGAATGCACAGTGGAAGCTGGTTTTGAGCAGGTCTTACGTAACTGATTCCTCCATGTCTAAAGGTGCAAATCATAGAGAACAGTGTAAAAACTTCTCCCTTTTCGTTTGCATTTGTACATTCACCAGCGTAGGCAGTTACTATAACTGCACACAGTCTCTTTGATGAATTCTAGTGCCTTTTAGAATACTAAGAGTTAGAATAGAGCCAAGAAGAACATGAACTGACAGGAAAACTTTTAGACGTAGTTTTATCTAAATGGATAGCAGGGCTAAATGAATCGTCTGAGGCTACACTGTGTTTTCCTGAAGCTGCACTCAGCTCGGACAAAAACATGGGAGGAAATCAGTCATGATGTGAGTGGTCTAGTGGCAGCTGTTATTTGGAAGCAAAGGCTGGCAAGGATAAACTACCTCTCCCCTACAATGAAATGTTGCCCAGAAATCAGAATGTTCATTGAAAGGCTATAAACATGTGCGTTTTTAACTTGGCCCTGACAGACTAATGGCAATGAAGAGTGCTAAATACCATTACTGATTTGTTATTGTAACACAGTCTTCATTTCCTGACGTGCAGATCCACATCAGCGCTATCCCAGTCAGAAATGCACATCAATTTGAACGGAAAGCAAAGGAGTTACGACTACCTCTCTATCCATTCAACTCAGAACACAATCAGTGGTGAGTATAATAATCATAGACAGTACCCTTCCATATTTATTATTTCAATAGCAGGAAACCAAAATATATTCTACTTAAAGATTAAGGAATATCCTTTTTCACTTCTAGCCCTGGGAATTAATCCAGAGTTTAGCAAGACAAGTTGTTTTCATCCCTTTCACTCCTGTTTTCCATCAGGATCAGTGGTAAAGGACTTAACTATAAAATTATTCTAGCAACGGTGCCTAATGGTCTTCAGAGATGTAGTTGAATTGCACCTGCAGAGCCAAATGGGCCCACAGAGCCAAGACTAGAGCTTCCAAAGGAACCCATAGGAGATTTGTGTCCAAATCACCTTCATATTCAATGAGTGTTATATGCCTGACTCTTTAGATATCCTAATCTTATAAAAACATTGCAGATAAATGCATGGTCTCCCAGAAAGGAACATTGTAGGATGAGTTTACCCACCTACTGTATGTATACTTTTCTAAAGAATGCAAATTTCCACACACTTGTTTAAGCTTCCTTCCTGAATTATATTGATTCAGAATTAATAGTAATGTTGAAAACAAGGACAAAATATATTTTTTAATTTTTGAAGCCCCAGTTTTGCATACTATATAAATCTGCTGTCTCCCTGCATTAATCTGCATTTATTCTAGCTGTTTTGTTTCTGCAGCACCTGGATCCCCAGCCATCCAAAAGGAGGTTTTGCTAAGTGGTCTAGAACGAGAAATCATTTGTGTCAGCCTAAAACGTGACCCTAAGAACGGATTTGGTAAGTAGAACGTGAATGTTATGTTTGTTACTGGGACTATCAGATCCTGGTGCTAACTCTGATACTTGTGGACTCAAGCCGGGCAAGATCATAAGCTTGACCTCATTTATTCTTCTTGTGGAATAAGATACCAATCTTTGTGAGGGGCTTAGAATTTCCAAGACTGAAAAGGACTTAGCACATAAATTAAGACCACAATTTTTTAGAGGGTTAACTAAGGCCACAGAGGTCAAGGGGACCAAGTGCTAGAAGTAGAATGAAAGGAACAAGGGTCTAGTTTTGTATCTGAAATACATGTGCTGTGATTTTATTTATCTCAGACTTTACCCAGGGGGAGATGATGTTCTGTAAGCCTTTCAGGTATCGCCTGTGGGGGTGCAAAATGTGTACACAAGCTTAATGTGAATGTTTCCTGACTTTTGGATTCTTATTTGGATAATATTTTTGTTATATATTACACTGTCACACTGAATGCTGTGCTTGTGGATAAGTTCAGAAGACAAATCAGGTTTCACAGCTGACTTAATAAAATTAAACATCACATTTCTAAAGGTGCAAGTCTGGGTGGAATATTCTGATCCAAACCCTACTATTCTACCAGTAAGAATAATATATTCTGCAATAGGCAGAATATTCTGAGCTAGGATAGTGAAACTGAACTACTTGACAATAGATTTAATTTTCTTATGTATGTCTTACATATCTATTAGAAGTTTACATGGCCCACTTCAGGGGCCCCAGACTACATGATGCAGAATGATATTCAAATTTTTCTAATGAGCTTTCATACCATTTTCCTCCTGCAGGTGTTAAATACTAAGATCCACATAGTTTATGACTCTCCTAAGTAAAAAGTTGGAAACTTTAAAAATTCCAAGCCGGGAAATTATTCTTACTGAGAAATTATATTTAAATAGCAACCAAAGTCACTTTAATTATAATGTTTAAACATCTCCCAAATCAAGACCTTGATGACATGTAAATCAGAGCTCCCCATTCTCCAGACCATGTATAAAAATAATGCTATTGGAACGAGAGCCTTTTGTGCTCCTAAGGTTCACTTTTCTAGTACTGCCAGCGTCTCTGCATTCTCATGCTATCTCATTTTTGCAGGTTTTGTAATTATTGGAGGAGAAAATGTAGGAAAATTAGACCTCGGTATCTTTATCGCTTCAATTATACCTGGGGGACCTGCAGACAGAGCTGGAAATATCAAACCAGGTCATTGTCCTTAGTTTTTAATTAGAATTAAAATACTTTCATGGTTGAAAGTTAGCTACTCTGGATTTATTTCCTTATTTAGATGTGCTTTTCTTGTTTTTATCCTTTTTTTTTTTTTTTAAGGAGGACGACTCATCTCTGTGAATAATATTAGTCTTGAGGGAGTTTCATTTAACACTGCAGTTAAAATCATACAAAATTCTCCCGATGAAGTGGAGCTTATCATCTCTCAACCCAAAGGTATAAAGGCAAATGCCTCTGCTGTCTATAGAATGCTAGTAGTTAACTCAGGCCATGGGTATTTATTAGCTACTGTGAAGTAGTAGTACTTTCTTGCTACTCAGTGACAGTTATGATAACCTTAGGCTAGCGGTGAAAATAATCAACTTCTAGTATCTATCACATGGTCTCTGTTCTACAGTCAGTGTGGAAAAAAATCTATTATGGGTTGTATTGGTGAATTCCAAGGGAATTTTGTAATTTCCTTCTCTGAAAGAGAGTCACAGTCCTCTGCAGTGATGAAGCAAACACGATGCTTATAATAGCAGTGCTCCATATGACAATGACTGTCTCATTTTATAGATCTGATTTCACAACCAGTTGATGTAGGAAGTTACTTTGTCCTCCTGAGCTGAGGTATAATAATCTTTGCCTTCAAGTTTACTTACTGTTTTGCATTCAGCAATGTTTTATTTTGGTATGACTTTACAGACATGTACGAAGAAGGAGTAAATGAAGAAAAGAATCTATCAAGAGGAAACAGCACTAGTGGATCTGAGATCTCTTGTGTAGAGGGTGGGAGAAAAAAGATTCAAGATTGTCATACAGCTCTCCCCAAAGAACAGGACACAAATATAGGTGAACTTGAGAAGGCTCTTTCCTGGAGTTTAGCACCAAAATTGGGCTCTAGGATTCCAGTTCCTTCAGCTAATAGCCTGGATGTGGAGGTAACTGAGATTTTGATGCTGTTCAGTAACATTGTGCCCAGCATGTGTCTTAACAACATGCCAGCTATAATAAGAATGGAAAGTAACTGAGAAATTAAAAAAATGAGGAAAGGAGAAAGAAAACCTTGGAAGATGTTGCTTGTTAAATTACACTGGAAATGTCAAAATGATAGACATGTCTAGAATATGTGAAAAAAAGGGGAAACTGTTCCACAAAATGTTATCAAAAATTCTTCTTCCTTTTCCACTGGAGGTGTAAAGTTTTTATTATTTTCCTGCAATCTCCTAAGTTTTCAACCAGGCACAGAACAGAAACGTTTTGCATCTAATGTCCCACTATTAGACAGCCTCCCCATCTGTATCAGTTTATGCACATTTAGGCAGATTATATTCTGAGTAACATTAGGGTAAGTTTCAAATAATGTCAAGGATATAAATGGTATCACTCCAGGCTTACAGTGATAGCAGGATCAGACCCTTTATATCTTCTGGAAACTCTGTCTTTTTTTTCCTTCCTTTTCCCCTTTATTTTATTGAGATGCTGTAGTCTCATTAGTGTTTATATTTTTGAGACAGGAAGCTGATTCTTCGCAGTTATCATCTCCATCTGAAACCAACTCAAAGGAAGTCTATACTGTGGAGCTTGTTAAAGACGACGGGACTTTTGGAATCAGTGTGACTGCAAGTGTTACTGTTAATCTTTCAATGTGTCTGTCAAACTGTTATGTGACCAAGAAACACATAGGAAACTGTATTTATGTGGAAAAAAGATAGAAGATAGGCTGATAACAAAAACTGTTGACACGGCACGTTTCAAACCTGAGTGTTCGACTGATTGACACAGAAAGCATAAAGTACTGACTCTGCTCATTCCCCAGTTCGTGCCCACAGAATCTGTGACAGAAGCCTGCCGGCATAAAGCACGTGGCAGTACAAGCCCTTTTCATCCTTACTCAATTTCAGAACAAGACTTACCACTGAAAGCAGAGTTTGGTCAGGGAGGGATATAGCCAGAGCCTCTAGAAAATGAAGTGATGCAAAGAATTCTCCAATTCATGACTGGTTTTGCTGTTCCCCTGGAGCTCCTAGATCCCAAAGGCTGTGTTTGTACAAGCAGGCCCATGGCATGGGCTCAAGTAGTGGCCCACAAGCACTGTTTAATTGTTGACAGCCTCTGATACGGCTTTAGCCTGTGCCTCAACAAGCAGTATCACAGAAGCCACCCCATGTTGGGGGGCTGAAAGTTTAGCTGTGTGGACTCAAGATATACCATGCTGCTTACTCTGAAGGCCAGAGAAAGGGCCCTAGCCAATTTTATTTTCTAATATAAGGAAATACAGTTCTTTGCATATTTAGAGGACCAGAGAAGGCAGCAGTGAAAACTGTCTGCCACATTGAATAATAATTCCTTGTTCTGGCTATCAAAGTTTCATTCACCCCTCCAGGCTCAGATGTCATTACGGTCTGCTGAAAAGGAGTGGGAAGCAACAGCAATTCCATTGCCTGCAGAAGAAATTGAGAGCTGCTTTCTCGTCTGAATTTGGCCATGGGATGTAGATGGACAGAATATGATTCTTAGGTTAATCTGGAATTCCTCTGAGCTGTAGGTTCTCAAGTGGCTGCACAAATTCAAGTCCATGCTTTATATATTGTCTGAAAAGTTAACTATTGCTGAATGGATATTGCATAGTTTAGAAGCTGGGCTAGAGACTGACTGAAAGATGCAACCGCACTTTATGTTAGCATAGGGAAAACTTTATGAACATTTAGTATATGTTTTTATATAGGCATGTAGAAATCCATTGCATTTTCCTGGGAAAATAAAACAAGATTACTGCCTAGGGAAGTATATTACAACTAGACGGGGCTTTGGAGTAACGTCCACTTTCCCTTTTTCCCTATATTTAAAATTAAAAAAGAAAAAAGTAATTCCTGGAGCAGTTGCTTTGCAATGCACGTGTGAGATGCTTTGGTTTTTATCACACGAAGAACATGTGAAAACTCCACTCTAATCTGTGGCATATGTTTTGCAGGGTGGAATTAACACTAGTGTGCGTCACGGTGGGATATATGTGAAGTCAATTATTCCCATGGGACCAGCAGATAAGGACGGACAAATAAAGATAGGTAACATGTCTGGCAATAGAACTCTGAGCTGTAGAACTCAATGTTAGTGTGGAATACTTGTCACAGGGACAATGAAATGCATTTGGGATTAGAGGTCATACAACTGTGAAATGTAATACGCAGTCCATCATTCCTCAGCCTGATCCTGTACTACACAGAGATATTCTACTAAAAATACACAAGCCTCATACCAACATTGTACAGTCAGTCTCTGTAGATGCACATCAGGCTAGTGACTGACATCTACTTTCAATGTTGCTGTGATAACCAGATAGTGTCACTGCATTTATTTACAGAATACCCTGGATGTTTTAAGTGCTAGTTGTAGAATGCTGTACAACAAGCACTGTTGCTTTCATACAAAGTAACGTAACTTGACACATGTAAACATGAAGAGCTCTTGCAACATGGGTAGCCTCAAGGTTTCATAGAATCATAGAATAGTTTGGGTTGGAAGGGACCTCCAAAGGTCACCTAGTCCAACCCCTCTGCAGTGAGCAGGGACAACTTTAGCTAGATCAGGTTGCTCAGAGCCCTGTCCAGCCTGATCTGGAATGTCTCCAGGGATGGCGCTTCTACCACCTCTCTGGGCAACCCGTTCCAGTGTTTCTCCACCCTCATCATAAAAAATTTTTTCCTTGCCTCTAGTCTGAATCTACCCTCTTTTAATTTAAAACCATTACTCCTTGTGCTATCACAACAGGCCCTGCTAAAAGGATTGCCCCCATCTTTCTTATAAGCCCCCTTTAAATATTGAAAAGGTCACTATAAAGTCTCCCTAGATCCTTCTCTTCTCCAGGCTGAACAACCCCAACTCTCCCAGACTTTACTCATAGGAGAGATGCGGCAGCCCCCTGATCATTTCCATGTTTACACCCATTGAACTCGAACATCAGTGCAACTTGACCTTTTTTGTTTGTTTTTCTTTTGCCTCAGGTGATCGTCTGCTGGAAGTAGATGGCATCAGCCTCTGTGGCATCACCCATAAGCAGGCTGTGGAACACCTAAAGAAATCTGGACAGGTTTGCATAATAGCAGAGCTCAATAAGATGCCTAGTAGAATAAACTGCACTTAGAATGAAGCACAGTAGCAAAGCTAGGCCAAAAGAAACTTCCTCCCCTCCCATCTCATCCAACCCCATTCTCCTAAAAAGAAAAGTAAAAAGACTTAGGCGTCACTGTGTAACTGGAACCTGTTCATTGTTTTAGATTGCCAAGCTGGTTCTAGAAAGGGGAAACTACCAATTGGCAGAGCCATGCTTGACTGCTAATGACAGAAAGGAGGACCAATGTGCAGTTGTTTCTGTGGCAACATCCTTCACAGATGGTACCAAGGACTACTGCTTTTTGACAGATGGTGAGTGATAAAAAAGGAACTCAGGGTGACTTATTACAATATGCAAGAAAAGAATGAATGAAAATAATTCTATGACATTTCTGTGGGTTGGAGGGAAAACTGCATACTGAATAAAAATATAATATGCGATATTAATGACATTATCAAAAATCAATTCTGAGCAAAATATTTCTGATGTACTTAAAGTTACAGTTGATAGATATAGCTGAATTTATTCTAGGCATAAATACTGTATCTCTCAGCCTTCATGAGATGGTGCTGGCAGTGGACGTCCCTGTCTGTACTCTGTAGCACTCTCAGGCAGGAAGCAGCTGTGTTGATGTCGTCAGCCTGCTACCCAAAAAGAGCACTGCCAGCACAAGTGCTGATACTGTGTCAATGGTGAAAGGTGAACTTTCCCCAGGGCCAGGACTGGAGACTGCCATCACTTCATTTCTTAAAAGCAGAAGATCAGAGATCACTTTCGCTGAATTTAGACAGCAAATAAATGCTATATCTTTTACTGGGAGGCTGTCTCGTAAACACCGAATCTGAACCATACTTTCTCATGGGTCAGTTACTCCTCTACGTTGTCTCTAGCAGAATGGAGTTTAACTCCAAGTATGGTATTAGGGAAAGGGCTGGTCTCTTGTCTTGTCTGGAAAGAGCAGTAGCTCTGATTCGACCTTATGCTGGCTAGTGCAGCATCCAAACTAATATCAGACAGCTACAGAATAGTAAGAGCTACCCAACAGTTACAGAAGAATGTCAGAAAATTATAGCATTTGAACCTTTTTATGTTGGTACAAAATGCTTCTTCCTTTATGTGCTTATATCAGATGGCATAAAGTCTGTGAACACATGGTGGAATAGAATCCAGTTCTCCCCATTCTGCCTGTGTGATTTCAAGGGCTCACATTAAGTCAAACAAACACCAAACCTTTTTTTTTTTTTTTTTTTTTTCCATTAGTATCAGTAGATCTACCTCTGCAGCACACAGAGAAAAGGTCTGCTGAGGGTATAATTTACATCAGCTCCTTAGGAGGTACATATGCCATGGCTCCCACTCTTTTTCCAATCCCTGCTTTGAACAGATAATACATTTGAAGTCCAATTGACAAAGAATTCTGGAGGCCTCGGCTTTAGTGTTCTGCAAATGGAAGGAGATGCTTGTGAACACCTTGGAGGAGCTATTGTCAGGATCAAAAGACTGTTTCCAGGACAGCCAGCTGAAGAGAATGGTGAAATTGAAGTTGGAGACATCATTTTAGCTGTGAATGGGAAACCTGTTCAAGGACTCTTGTATCAGGTACAAGGCAGTACTATCACTGAGACTCCAGATAGGTAATGTAATAAAGACAATGGGATGAAAACTAAATTTAAACTTAATTATCATCAGAGGGAGTCAGAATTTGCATTTAATGAATCTGGTTTCTATGTCGGATTCTTCTCTAGAATCCTTATGGAGAATTTCCTTCTTAACAGAATTCTTACAGAGAATTTCTTCCGCTATTTAATTTATAACTTTCTACTACTGATGCACAAAGTCTAGTGTTAGATGCACACCAGTTGTTAATTAGTTGGAATCTTTATTGCTGTTATGAATAATTGGAACATTTTTTTCCCCTTGTGGTCATTTGTGCTCTATAATATGCTAAATACCATGCCCCAGATTCAAATCTCTACCAGGTGAGGTAAATCCAGTGTAACTTTTTTACCTGGAATGAGAAATTCTATACCCACATGCAGAAATTAGATGGTAAAAAAGGACTACATGTAGATTAATTGTTTTCATCACAATCTTTTCACCTTGTGAAAAATCCCTGAGTTCTGTATTGAGCAGGTAAGATTGGCAACAGAAATGATGAAATCATGCAATTTTCCCCACTAACAGGTCATTTGCATCATTAAATAGCTAGGACAAAAGACAAGGTGCTGTAAGTCCTAGACATCTGGGGTGTGCGTGCTGTAATTGTACTCCTTTTTCTTTCTTATTTGGAGCCTGTCCGTTTCCAGCACTGTCTTGCTCTCTGACGTACAACCTCTTTACTCAGTTTGTGCAGAGGGGCAGACAGGATGTTTTGGCCTGCAGCATTTATTTTTCTCCCCTCTGGATTAAGTACTTCATCTCCCACTATAGCTGAAAGCTGAATGCCACTGAATAGATGTTACGTCAAGGAGGAGATTTGAGAAAGTCTCCTTTTGGTTATGTCAATATGGCAGTCTGTGGAGCTATGTTGATATAATTGACCACATAGAGTTTGAGTGAATTTGCCTGAAAATCCTGTTTTCTTCAAGAAAAGAAAAGAAAATTTAAACCTATGTGTCTGTTGGTGAAAGAAAAGTTTGTAAACAGAACTGACTTGACTTTAGATACACAGTCACATAAAAACATTTATATGGCAATCATACAGTAGTGAATTTTGGACTCCAGACACTGCTGAGAGGCACAAATACTAGGAATTTGGGATTCACAATATCTCCATCCCAGCCGGTAAAATGGCACGTACTATATAGACTGTGTTCCATAAGAAATCTAATATTCCGTCTTCCTGCTTAGGATGTCCTGCACTTGTTGAGAGGAGCTCCTCCAGAAGTCACACTACTACTTTGCAGACCACCAAAAGGTGTTCTTCCAGAAATAGAGCAGAGTGCCCTGGTAAGGCAAAGCTTCTGTTGGTAAACTTGCTTCTGTTGGTAAACTTGCTTCTGTAAACCTGGAAAAACACTGCTATGCTTTCTATTCAGTCTTGAACAAGACAACCTTCCCTTTTCTCCAAGGCCCTCTATTCCATTTCTTTTCCTTCCCAGCTTCAGCTCAACCTCCAGAATTCAACTGATTCTTCCTTAGCAACCAAAACAATAGACATCTGACAGACAAGAAAAATGTTTATCCCAGTCCAACCACCTCTGAATTGCGTTACTGCCGTTGGACTGAAACAGCACATACCCAAGCAGATCTTCTAGTGATGCTTCTAAAAATGCTCTACTAGATCCTCAGCCAGAAACTGCAGATATTCTCAACTGCGGCTATTATAACTCATGGGCTTGAGGTAGCTATATCACTCCCAAAAGCAAGAGGAAAATAAAGAACTTTTCCTATCCAGGCTATCTCTTAATAAACTTAAATAAATGAAATAATGGTTTCAACTGGTTATTCAGCTGCTTATTGATAGTTAGCAGAAGATGCATGGGCGGGAGGGGAGAAAAAGAAAAAACTGAACAGTAGAGATTAAAATAGTGCCATTAGGTGTGCTAGCATTATTATTGCTGCTTCTTGAACACAACTCATGGACACATACCCAAGTACTCTTATAATGAACATGCATTTGTATTACTCTTGCCCCATGCAGAAAGGTCCACCCATGGTTCCTGTCCCACCAAGATTTGTAAGAGCTGTCCGTGGGCACACAGAAATAACAGTCAGGACCATCTCCAGATAACAAACTGACTCCTGTTGTTCTCCTACAGTGTCTCCTTGGCTGATTCCTATGGTCAGCTGCACAGGAGGCAAAACTGGAAACCACTTCTACAAAACAAAGAGAATATAGACATAAAGTTGAGGCGTGATATGAAAAGAAATAAAAAGGGGCCACCTCTAGCAAAGAATTCATTGGGAAAAGTGAATTTGTGTAGTAGAATTTCCTGTCTGGAACTCCTGAATATGTGGAAGATAAGCATAAAGACAAAACGGTTATTTAGTGGACAGTACCTCATTCCATTTTTTTCCTTCCCTTCCAGCTACCACTTGATATTTTCACATTCAGATGTTTATTGATATTGCCTCTTCAAATTATTTTGTTCTTGAAGGAAAGAAGATGGGAGATAAAAAAGGAGTGACACTAACCTTTCTGTTATTTTGATAGACTCCAGCACCATCTCCAATTAAGGAGTTTGTGACAGAAATGCCAGGCAGTACAGTGGTAGGAAATAGTATGGATCAGTCTACCAGTGATGGTGATAGCACCTCTCCAGACCTTGAAGACTGCTTGGATTCTCCAGTGGCAGCAGATTTCAGTGAGCCTCCTGAAGATGACAGCTCAACCTACGAAGAGCAGGAAGCTGAGTTTCAAGAGGTGCCCATACAGAAACTTATGGCTCCCAGGGAAAGTTTCTATAAGCGTCTTTGGAAGTTTCATCAAGAATCTGCCAGTTCTGAAGTCTTCCACTCTCTAGAAGAAGAAATGAAGCAGAACTGCTACTCACCACGTGATTTTGGACAGGCCAAAAGGTAGGGAATACTGAAATCTGCTCTGCAGCTTTTTCTTTAGCTCTTAGAATTTTGAAAATGAATTGCTTAGGTTTAAGTACAGGGCTATCTGCTTCTAACGACTACTGATTACTGAAGAATTTGGTTTACCATCTTATTCTGACTATCCTAATCTGCTGTCCATATTTACTCTCATCTTATTAGAATTTTGCATAATTCTGCATTGCAAGACAGTTGTATGAGTGCTGCACTACTATAATAATTTATGCTGTTCAGTTGAAGCTGGCTGCAGTTTGAAATCAGTGGAAACACTCTTTTGACTTAAATAGGAACTAAAGACTTTCTTCTTTCTTATTTGATCTTTTAATTTCAATTTTCTCAGAGTTGACTTAAATAGGCACCAGAAATTTCTTTCTTATTGTATGACTTTTTAATTTCAAATTTTTTCAGAGAAAATTAAAAAAACTCAGAAGACAAACTGTGATCAAGGAGGAAAAAAAAAAAAAACAAACCACCAAAAAACTTATTTTTCAGTCTTCAGAAGCCAATAGAAGGCCTGAGCCAGAGGATTATACAATAAAATACAGTGCAAACGGACTCAGCCTCCTTTTACATTCTTTGGGATATACCAGACACTGGCACACAGAAGACTATCCATTCAATTTTAATCATCTTTCCCAGTGAAAAAGAATATGAATTATCAGAACAGAAAGGATTGGTGGAAAGATAAGTTAAAGGTCTCCTAGAGCCTTTAACTTTCAGCTTTAGTAATTTTATCTAGAAATGAATTTATATTTTTCCACACAGTCACTTGAAATCCTTTTGTCACTCTTGACGTTCATCAAGAACAGAATCAGACAGTCAGACATTTGGGTCTTCGGGGAGTCACAGCACTAGGTGATTGCAAGTCAAGTGGGGCCATAATGGCACTTTGTAACTTTTAGCTCCTCTCTCTTGAGAGGAGAAGCTTCACTCAGATTCATCAGCGAAGCTCCTGCTTACATATATGATTCTCTACTTCTGAGAATAAAATCAGCAGAAATATATCTGTAGCAAATATATTTGCTAAGAGATGCAGTTTCAACAAAACAAAGTTTATTGTGGAAAAATATCAGTTCCAAGAAGTTTTGGATTCTTTCCAAGAGCAAGTTCTGAATTAAGGGGGTTTTTGGTACATTCTCAGTATCATTAGCTTTTGCATTTTCAAAAGGCAGCCAGAGCAGTTTAAGACAGCATGCATTTTAAACAGTATTTTAAATGTAATCGCAGTTTAAGTGATCCTGACAGCTAAAAACACACAAAAAAATCCAGAATAAAACAGGCATTAATGAAGGAATTCATTTTGGTTAATGAAGAAATTGCTTTTCTTCAAATTGCTTAAAACGTTTCATGTAAATGTAGAAATCTTCTGATACAAATTTTAAAACTTCCCTGCTCAGGGTTTCACATGGAGAATTCCTTCTACTCTTCTTCTCATCACCACCAATAGAACCTTTGAAAAAGCTGCTTTGAAAAACTTTAACCCATAGTTTTTCCCCCACGAAGTCCAGGTGCAGGGGTCACGAGACTCCAAAAGAAAGTCGAACATGTCAGTGGAGCTCATATATGGGCCTGCAGGACCAAGACTGATGTTATTTCCCATGGTGATGTAGAGATGGGGTAGAATCTGTGCTATGATTAAGCCACTGCTGGCTCATTGCCTTGAGCTTGCGTAGCTCTGCCAAACACCTTTCATACACTTTGAAGGTCAGTCAGCACTCCACTAGCATGTGATAGCTTCTATGACACTCACATTGACCAACGTCCATTGAACTTACTTACTCTTTTATTTCCTGCCTCCAAAAGAAAGGAGTAGACTGCATTTGCTGTTATCCTTAAACATTTCGTTATCCCAGTGTTCCTCCATGGTACTATAAGTATCGGTTGTCCAGCTATTAAAGCACAAAGTATCAGCTTCAGTCTCAGCTTTGCTGTGCTACTGGAGATGGCCAGCTTCTCATTTCTTCTCTGCACAGATATAAGCTAACAGACTAGATGACTTCCCTCACCGAGGGCATACAGCATGAGCCTACAAGTTTTTCCTATTTTCATCAGTATTTCAAAGTACCATTGAAGGCTATTAGCTATAGTCAGCCAAAATGTCTGTTTTGCTACTGTGCTTTAAATTTTCCTTCTGACTATGGACAACTTTTGAAACAAGACCTTAATGCTGAGGATCATCTGTGATTTCATTCAAGACACGCAAATTGTGGCCTTTTAGTTGTGTGTTTGCCTGGGAGATGGTAGCCACTGTTCAGTTCTATCAGTGATCCTAGGTGACTGTTACATAGGAAATGGCATCTTTGCTGTATGAAGCATTAATAAAAGCTATGCCTTTTAAAGTATTTTTTAAAATGAATGAGGTTTAGCAATATTTCAATAAAGACTGATATGAAGAAAACATTTTTTAAAAAAATGTGTTTCAAGCATATACATTAGCTTTAATAGCAAATTTAATGGGAGACAATGCTATAGAAGTCTATTAGAGTTCATTAATGACAAAAGCCAAAACAATATTAATCACAACACTTACAATTACAGCCTGGGCTTGAACATCAAAAGTGCTGAATGCTGTGTCTCCAATATAGTGGAATAAAATCAATAATAATTTTAATTCAAGTAATTGAACAAATCCATTGATTTCTGTAGGACAACTCTTACGCTTCAAGGCAAGCATAAGACTAAAAGGAAGCTTACAAAGAGAAGTCAGGACTTGTATTTTTTATGGAGAGACAGGAAGCATGTTTCTGGTCTGTGCTATAGCTACCAAGGAAAGACCTGTAGAAGCCAGGGATGTGGCTGCCATTCCTTTTTTCAAGAAAAATGCAAATATGAAAATTGTAGTAGTACTGTAATGTGCATACCACTTACCAGATAAGTTTATGGCAGACAAAATAATTAATGGTCTAAGAATTGTCCGATTATTCTTTTCTAGAAGCAACCAAAGTACTATTTAATGCCTCAAAAAAAAAAAAAAGTGCAAGATTTTGCAAAGGCTGTTCTCAAATTCTGAAAGATTTTTAATCTTTTAATTAGCTTTGCAAAATATTGATTACTTATTTTGATAGTAACATTGGAGGACCCAGATAGCAATTTAATACCATAACTAGTACTTAAGTTAAATTAAAATAAGGTCATGTATAAGCAGTAGACTTTTCAGTGGCCATCTAATAAGGCATATGGAGGAAACCACCAGCACCGCAATCTTTTTATTTTCCAGCCGCATATTTAATAAGAGTGATGATGACCTATCGAACACAAAATGTATGCCTGAAACTCTCTCTCTAACCCCTATTGATGAAGAGTATCTCACTATCAGCTCAACGTCTGTGACCTCACTTTCACGGGGAGGAAGCTCCGAGACACTCTCCACAACCACGGTGACCCCACAGCCACATGTTTGTGGTCCCTTTTCATCATCCCTGACTGCTAGAGAGACACATGACAGTGACAATGAATGGGAAGACTTGGAAGAACTAGAGGAAGAGAAGAAAGAAAAGGAAGATTGCACTAGGGTAAGTAATAGGCACCAGATTATTATCAGGTAGAATACAACAAGGGAAAAGAAACAACTTTAAGAATACAACATTTTTAACATTATCTATGTTATTTCTGCATGCCTTTTTTTTTTTCCTTTCCTGAATGTCCATAGTCTTCAAGTAAAGCAGACCACCTGATATGCCCAGCTCTCCAGAATTCTTTACCATTTGCCAAATCCTTGCTCCTGCCATCTTACTATTTCTTCAACTTTCCAGCATTCTGTAATATTATTCCCAGTGTACAAAGGCCTAAAAGCCCTCTAGTAGCCTCCAAAATTAATTAGAGTCAGCTACTTGGTTTTTTTCTGTCATGTTTTAAGCCTATGTGAAAAATCACTTTGTTACAGTGATATTGCCATAATGTCCTGATAAGAAAGTACGATCCTTGTGCTAATTTCTATTTGAAACATAAGGCTCAGCTCTGCCAAATGCTGAACATCTTTTTCCTGCTGACACTAATGAGCTCTGAATTCCTACTAATTTGAGAGCACTGAGCACAAAATTTAGCTCCAGCCATTTCCTTTAGTGGGACAGCAATAGAAGTAACAACAATAATCTCTGCACCCCACTATTGTATTGCTTTGTCAGCTCAGAGGACTCTGAGCATTTCTTTATATGTTTCAATGGTGTATTGTGCTTTATTAGGCCCTATCAATCAATCACCATGAAGCTCCAGTAGGTAAAAAGAAGTAAAATTAATTCTGGAATAAGGCAGTGACAGATCAGAGAAACCCTTATGTACGTTCTTATTTGTGCCGTCTGAGGATCTCATTCTTATCTGCATATAAAACATAATGGAAGATGTTAATAAAGCAACAGAAAAGCCTACACCAAACATACTTTGTGCTTATTTTAATAGGAAATGGAGATCTTTGTGACTTTGACAAAGTCAGAGAACAACAGTTATGGATTCTCTGTAGTTTTTAACAAAGTGGACACCTGCCTGTATGTTGATGAAATCTTGAATGAGCCTGCCCTATCTGATGGAAGACTAAGAAGGGGAGACAGAATCATTATGGTACAGTAATTCTTTGAGTTTATACAGAGGAGAAAATATTTGCAGTTCAATGTCATTTAGCTTTGGCATTCTTCCTTTGTGAGGGTCCAGTTTATTACCTGGCATGCAAGTGCAAATGAATCGTATAATAAATGTAGCTCTGTTGACTTCAGTAGGACAAATTTCAGACTGAATAGATTGTATGACCAGGCAAATGACATGAATCATCTAGCATCAATGCAAGACAACTGAGACATTAAATGCCTTCCCAATTAAATGACATAAACTGAATTAATGTAGTAAGATAAGTGACATACAAAGAATTCAGGAGCTACCTCAGTTACAGTTTGTAATGTATGAATAAAGCCTATTTTCAGCCTGGTTCATCTTCAATTTGTTGCATGAGACTGTCTTGGTTTTTGATACAAGACCTTGAGTTTCAAGAAAAAAAAAAAAGAGCTCTTTTTCTGAATGCACAGCATTCAGAAATAAAGAAGTTCAAAAAAAAATCTTACTGTAATCTTAACTGTTGCATTCACTGACATTAAATACCACAGCAAAGCAGTAACATGAAAGTGAAAACTAATTTAACTTCAGACGCAAAATTCAGAGTGGAGGGAGAAGTATTGATGATGAGATCTATGACATCATTTTACTGGTTTGTCATTTAGGTGAATGGAATTGATGTCACATCTTTACCATGCAATGAAGTCCTGACTTTACTGCAAAGCTCTCCTCCTGATCTGCATCTTGTGGTTGGTCGTGCTGACAGTGATCCACGTCCCTGTATTAGGCCAGATGAGATTCCTGAAATTACTCTCACAAAAGGTGCCAATGGACAGCTAGGTGTGTAGTAAATACCACGCATGCTATTTTGGATAGAGATTACAGCATTCGTAAGGTAATCGTCAGCAACTGTGGTCTTGGATCAATATGATCCTGAGTTACCTTGACAGCTTTATGTTCTCCTCCATCACCCATGGACAAGGAATGGAGAGCTTTATTTTAGGCAAGGCCCTAAAGGGAAGTCTAATATCTCTTATTAGACCAATGAAGATAGTTGGAAAAATGATCTTTGTATTATCGCCCTATCAGCTGAAATTTCTGGGAGATATCCAGTCCCATATTTTCATGTTACTGATATACAGAAGTTAATAATGTCTCCTACCTGCTGAGATACACAAAGACCTATGTGGAGGGACAGAAAAAAAAAAAAAAAAAAGAAAAAGAAAAAAAAAAGGCAAAGTTTGAGAAGGCTGAGCCACTGGTTAGGGCAATAGTTTGCCATTCAAAAAATCTCCACTCAAATCCTTGATTCGCCACTGACACAAGGCTTTCTCTACATTGAACAATAGAAGTGATAAAAGGAATCCCCACAGTGTATCTCAGTATTTCTGCAAAATGTGGCAAGTACTGCACACAGATAAAACTGTAAACTCAGGAAATAGTATAGCTGTATTTGCTTAGGTACAGCATCTTGTTTCTAGTTCAGAAACTAGCTTGTTCAGAGATTGCTTGAATATTATTGCCCAATTCCATTTTGCACTGTCTAGGTATCTACTTAGTTGTCATATGTCTCTGTTCCCTATGGCACTCTAAAGACTGCAAGGCACTTAAGCAATGAGAGAGTTACTGCTATGCAGCTAAGTGTCTTATTCAAATGACTATTCAACGTCAGGTGAAATAAAGCACTATGGAATAGCTGAAGCATAGAGATGGACAATACCATTTAAGTTTTTGCCATGTTTTTTTAACATCTAATTACATTTTACTCTCCCAGTCCAGCTCTTATACCCCACCTCACTGGGGCAAGACTTATTTATAAAGTCAGTGATTTCTTCAGACTACCTTTCTATGACCCACATCAATTCCATTAGGCTGTATGTCACTGACAGTGAAATTCAAAACACGCTGCCACAAAAGATGCTTTCTCTGCGTTATTCTAGGCTTGAAGCTGACAGGAGGAGCTGGAAGCAAGTTACAAGGTATTTATGTGCTAGAGATAGTGCCTGGCTCTCCTGCCAGTGTGGAAGGCAGTTTGCAGCCACGAGATCAGATTGTTTACATCTGTGGACTGTGGACTGAGGGCATTAGCCTGGATGATGCAGTGAGAGTGTGTGAAGCTGCCACCCAGAATGTCCAAATCAAAGCTACAAGGTAAATCTGAGCTGAGAAGGTAAATCTAGGCATAGTCAATCTCAATCCTAACGCTGAAGCAGGTTTCTCAATTTTACATCAAGAAGTTAAACAACAAAACCAAGACGAACTACAAGAAAAGGTCTGAATGTCGTAACCTGATACACAACATCCATAAGATATCTTAATTCCTTGTAATTACAACTAACTCAGTGAGTACAAGTAGACTCATACAACTCAAATGAGAACTCTTCAAACTTCAACATCCAAACACAATTGTGAATCCTTTAACTGTGAGGCTGGCCATCATTTTCAGACACCGTGATCCCTAGGGAAAACCTTTATATTTCCAGCACAAGTGCCAGCTTTCTCCATACAATCCCAGATTCACAACTACAGACAAGAAACTACCTCTGATGGGAAACTCTGAATTCCTTCCAACAGCCAAATGTTCTAGAAAGGTATTAACAACGCAGAATCTATTGTGCAGCGTGTAACAAAAAGTCATCCCAGGCTTGATCAATAACCTGCAGTTAAGAATTTCCCTCATCAGTTCTTGGCTGCACTTTATATTTATTGCGTTCTACAGTCTGATATAGCATCAGCAGAGGTCCTGGACTGATACAGAAATAGCTTCCAAAGATCTTGGAGGAACGGTCAAACAGTAAGCCAAAAGTATATGAATAACTAAGTTGCATAACCCGAGCGAGCAATAATATGTCTGTCACAGCTGTCAATGTAGTTCAAACTTTTATCAATGTTTTATTAACTTGCACTGGTCTAGCAGATGAAGAAACTGCAGCCTGATTATACTTCTTGCTGTACAAGCAGTTAGTAAGCGACACACCCTGATCATAAGAATTTACAGTCTAAGGAGACAAACAGAAACAGGGTAAAGGAAATTACAAAAGAGCATTCCCACTTTACAGAGGGGGAACTGAAGCTGAATTCAAAATGTATCACGAAGCAGTTCTGTATAGGCACATATGGTTTAACATGTTCTTTCTTTTCCCAATCCATTTAAATAAAATGTTTCACTGTTGTTAAATACAGTCAAATATTTTATATACTGATATAAATGCTCTTTAGGAATGCACCATTAACAAAGTCATAGAGATACAACTACAATTTAGACAACTGACTTTCTAAAAATATTTCTTCATATGTGCTTTACAAAGCATGCAGCTCTCAATGGCTCACATATTTCACTTTTTCTGCCCCCAGAAATGGCAATCCAGTGGTTCCTATAGAGCAGGAAAATAGTAAGTAAGGCTAATATTTTTGGTTTTTAGTTCAAAACTTGCTTCCAATTTTGGAAATAAGCATAAGGTATTGATTCATTGCATTTAAAAAGTTATTAACAGATTGTAACTTGGCATTCAGTGTTTCTGTTATGACCATTCTAAGGGTCTGAAGAAAATTTGGTAACTCTTTAAAGACAGAAATAAAGTGTATAGTTCTCTGTAAAAAAAAAAAAAAAAAAAAAAAAAAACTGCATTTTGCATAGTTTTTTTTTTTTTTTTTTTTTTTTTTTTTTTTTTTTTTTTTAATTTGTTGTTATTAAATGGCGATTTTACATGGTCATATTTCAACTTCTGTTTTGATTGAAACTGTTCTCCAAAAGATTTTCCAGCACTTTTTGAGCCACTATTTAATATGAGCCACTACTTCATCATCTAGACCAACTTTTTAAACTGTTATCAGTAAATCTATAAAAAAATCAGAAACAGGCAGCACCAATATCCCTTAGTTAATGTAAGAGCATTCCTATTAGGAGATTATATTTAATACTATAACTGACACAGAACTTCAGCAATCATCTGTACTACAAAGATGACCAGAATTCCTCTAGCAGTAGAAGAAGTCTCAGCAAGCAGAGGTTGCATCTGCACCATCAGGTGGAAGGATAGGTATCATGTCTATGCCCCTGCGTAGAAAGTGTGCTAGCTACACAAGTAATACTTTCCAGTGTACATTTGGCTGGAGTGTTAAGTCAAGCCTAACCCACAGTTTTATTTACCTGACTGGATATCTGAATGGTTTTTTACTTATGCAAAAATGACCTGAAAAAGTAACGCTGGACCAGGATTGCTCATATGCCTACACTCATCTGAATACCAGCATATGGCTACCAGAGGAAATTATTCCAAATTAAGCTCGTTGCAGGTTTCCTACTCTACAAGTAGCCATAAGCTTCTTTTTATAAACTGGAGCAGCTTATTTCACTTACTGAGGAACAAGCTTTTTTGAATTTACTATAAGACACAGATAGTGTACTCTCAGTTACTGTGGTATAACTAAAGCACAGCAAATGCATATCCTGGTAGGACCTTGCTTACATATCCTTACTCCATGAGCTTTGCAGATTCCAAGGTTTCTCAAGACACCTTCAAAATACATTACCAGATCTGATCCATCTCTGATACAGATTTATAAACTCTACAATGGTACAGTTACCTGCCTCTCTTAGAAGATTCTTCCCTTTTATAAGGCACTTAAAAAAATCTATTTGGTGTTCTGTTTGCAATCATCTCTGATAGATTTATAGATAAATTCATAATAATTTGCTACTAAGGAAGCAAGCCTTCATTTTATAGACTCTCTTAGCTACAAAAACGCACACTAAAACTGCAAATAAAACAGACAGCCCTTTTTTTTTTTTTTTTTTAAACAACAGAACACTCATCATTTTCTATAATTCATACATTAAGAGTATTTTGTGGAGGACACATAAGTTCACCAAGATATGATAAAGCAAGACCCCAAAACTGGGGGTGGGTGGGTAGAGATGAGAGTGTCAAGAAATCACATTGTCTTCCTACATATCCATCTCTGCAGATACTAACACATCCTGCTTCTTCCTCTGCCTGATCATTGCCACATGTCTAGAATGACTCAGTCTATTCTCTGATTGTTGTTACAATTTTAAAAACAGTAATGACTGAGATGCAATATCTCTGCAATTCATGACAGAATTGTTCATATCACTGTGCAAACTTAACCATGCAGTAGTAAGCACATCAACTGCCTCATATAGTATCAATATTGGATATTGATGCTTTGTTTAACAATCTAAGCACAGAGTTTGCATTCCCTTGTGCATATGAAGGTTAGCAGGAGGCCTATCAGAACAAACCTACATGTATACTTTTAGGGCCACCTGCTGAGACAGAGAGAGCGAGTATTTCTTTCTCAGACGAAAACCTGAATTCCCAAGAACAGCATCTGCTGCATCAACATGGTAAGGAACTTTGTATTTTTCAATTAGGATTTGTACAATTTTGTGCCCTCTGTCCAAAAGAAAATAAGTCTGTAGGTGATAATGGCAAGCACCTGGGAAAGATTAATTCTTCACTAACAAAACTGCCTCCCTCAGAATTTCAGAGAACATTTATACATTACCTGCTGTCCATCTGGTGTCTCTGACCCTGTAACATGCAGCTTTTAAAGCTTATTTTGGAACCTGCTCACTGGGAGGTAAAAAGTCTACATGGCTAATGCACAGAAGGTTCATTTCAGGAGTGTAAGTCCACATAAGTCCACAGGATTATTTTTGCATTTTACATGTCAAATACGAAATGTTTTATCACGTTTCTGAATATGATTTTGAGTGTTGCACCATAGAACATTTTACCAGTACAACTGTGCAAAAATTGTTGCTGCTTTTTCACAGAGAAACATTTGGAGGAAACAAACCATGGTGCTCAGCCAAACACTCCCGATTCTCCAGAATGTAAGGTAAGTGACAATTGTATCAAGTGTGAGATGGTCCATCAAGTGGAGTGAGCTATATGGAGTGAGATTTTTTCAATAGTGGTATTTAATGTATTTGCTTCCTCACCAGTTTCCTAAAACATGAATACAATGCATTTGGAGTGTGTCTTGTGAAATGTTGAAATGCTTCAGCATTCGTGGACTAGAATGTGTTGAGCACTTCCTGGGGTCAGACTCTTCTATTGCTGTTTTCCAACATACAATATCACTATGTTACCAGTTTGGTAACACAAGCTTGACTTGTATGATGCAGCCTCTCCATTAGGCCTTTATAGTACTCTTAAGAGCTTACAAGGTTAATCCTTAGCTTAGAAAGAAAGTAGCACTGCAAAATGATACAGAATGTCACAGCACAGAATTCTGGGGAAAATAAGAAGCATTTTCCACAACAATCTTTGAAATCTGAGATTAATATGTTTCTTTCTGAAATTCTCAAATGGGGCATTTGAAAAGATGGTAAAATTACTCCAAACCTTCGGAGTATGATGCATCATTGACATAAATCACAATGGTCTGAATTTGGCAAGAGTAATGCCATTTTTGAAAAGATGAATTCCTAAAATTCCTAAAATATACTTTTTTCTTTGAAAAAAAGAAGTAATTTCCATGCTTAACATACAATGCTTCAAATTTCTGCAAACATCACTTCTGTTTGTGCAAACGTGAAAAATAATATTACTTGGAATTGAAATTACCCACATTGGGACCGATATTTCATAGGAATAGATTTACTAGTTTTCTCTCGATTGTGGTTTGCAATAAAGGGCTATTTCTTGTTAAAATTATACCTCCGACCCAGGAGAAAAATGGGAACAATTTTCTCACTTTTGATTAAGTCATCACTATTACTGCTTCCTCCGCACTATTTAATCCATGATGGCTTATTTGTTCAACTTGCTAAAACAGTTTCTGAGGATGGTATTTGCAGTATTGGAACAAGCCATAAACATTTCTAGGTTTCTGCTATTTCTGAAATAATACTTGACCCTAGAAAAGCAGCTGTTTTTAAAACTGAATGAAGTGCTAAAGCCAAACAGATTGGTATGTTGGCGTTGCAAGGTTAATAATTTCTTTATAGAACAATAAAAGAATGGAGTATGTACTGTGTTACTGTCATGATGAAGAGTGACTTGTTTGTCAATGAAGGTGGTGTATTTGACATATTATTAAAGTATTACAAAAGTACATGTTTTGCTCTTAAGAGGTTATTTTGCCCTCCAGCAATTGTTAAAAAAGATTATGGAAATAAGTATGTACTATTTTCATTCTGATACTTACATGCAGCTGCTATGTTAATCACTGGAAGCTCTATACACCTATTCAAGAGAAGGATATATCCCATAATCTACATCAACCAATGAGGACTGTGAAGCACAATGGGATTCTTTGGTATTTAAAATGCAAACAAAACACAGCCCTGAATAAACTGCACTTTAGACTGCATCCTTGTTTATTGTAGGACTTCATTATTAAGATTGAACTGGAAAAAGCGGAAAATGGAAGCCTAGGATTTGCACTGGTAGGTGGAAGAAATGGCAGGGCTATCCTAATAAAAGCCATCAGCCCGGATAGCATTGCAGATCTAGATGGAAGGCTTCAAGTTGGTGACATCTTACTTAAGGTAATGCTTGTTCTTCATTGTTTTGGCCTACATTTTCTCTAGTTACTCTATCATGAGCATTCTCTCCAGTATAAAGGTTGTACAGATTGGAAATCTGAGGCTGCTTGTCACAACAACACATAGAAGATGGTGTCCCTCAGCTCCTGGGGGTCAGAGGGCTGTTCTGGGCCCCTCCCCCCCACCCCCTTGCCTAGAATTCAGCTTCCTGTGGGACCGGGCCTCTCTACACCTGGAGGTGACTGTTGAGCATTCCAGTAGAGAAGCAGACCCAGCATGGCAGGGCATGCAGCAACATGCAACTACTCCATAGTGTAACTGTGCCCAGAAAGGATTACACATCAAAAAATCAGGGACACAAGAGTTAACTGATCAAGCATGCGTATAACAGCTAACCAGGAGGATACTGGGAGGAACCTGTCATTGGTGCCAGCTAGATATTATCAAGTCAAGCAAAAAACACAGGAATTAGAGCTTTTGAATACTTACTTAAAATCTTACTATCTTAACCACCTTTTAATACAAATCATCTCTCTTTTTTTTTTTTTGCCTCAAATTATTTTTTCTCCCCCTCTAGGAGTTTCAATATTTTTGTTTGATTTTCTATTTTGCATTTACTTCCATCTCTACTCCATATTCCATCTGAAGAATGGGGAAAACAGTGCCCTCTTAGTATCTCAGAAGAGATGCAGACTATACTTCTATGGTGTACTGCTGGCAAGTGTGGTATAAAGAACAGAGGACGATCAAGCAAGTTACTAAAACGGGAGCAGAAAAGAACACACTAAGTGCAAAGAAGTTATATAAAGATTGCTCGGTGCTGGGATATGTGATTAAAAAAGCTTTCTGTTACAGGAATCTGGAAGTACCTATCATTGTATTTTTCAGGTGAATGAGACTTTTGTGTCTGGCCTGCCACGCCAGACAGTTATAGATTTGCTGCGGAAGGCTCGAGGCACTGTTCAACTCACTGTCTGCCGAAGCATGGCTTTGCATTTGGCTTATTCAGGCAATCAGAGCAACACTATGCCTTCCCCCCACAACACAAAAGCAGAACCTGGTAAGCAGCTACATAATCCCACCTTCATCATATACCGAGCATACGTGTTGCCTGAATTCAGCTTTCCTATTAGCAAAGCGATTCAATATTACTAACTTTACAGTTAGTGCTGGTTTATAGCTGTAGAAACAAACACATTCTTTACCCTGATCTGCAGCTCTGACTAAACTACTCAAAATATACAACCACAGGGAAGGAATGCCCAAGCATGATTTTGAAGTCTGGGAATAGTAGAAGCAAAGCTGCAAGAACCTCAAAGATGTTTTAACTCAGATTATGTTTTTAAGTCATGAGGTTTCTGGTCTGATTTTACCCAAGTTTATACAACTCATTAATGGAATCACAGCCAATTATTGAACCAGATGCTAAAATAAATTTCTGACAAATTTCACATCCCAGCACTTCTACTTTATCTCTTGAAAGCCCTGCACCTCCTGTTCTGCCTGGCAGACAGCTCCTCTCCCTTCTGTGCTTGTTCATGTTCAAATCCAGAAGCCTCTGTTCCCAGGTTGATTGCTATTAATTTGAGAGCACACCCACCTGCATGGGGCAGTACTTAGAGAGCTGACTAACTCAAATGGAAGAAACACCTGCTGCAGGCTCTGCTCTACTGAACATTCAAACTTTAAATACTCATTAAAGCTGGGAATGGAAGCAAGGGTATACTATTACCAACAGATTATGGGTTTATATTCCTCAATTTTCTATTTCTTTGAACACTGAAATATTTCCTATCATGTGGAGAAACTTCAGTGGGAAAATATAGAATTTCTTCTTAATATACCTTCTGGCCTGCCCGTTACAAATTGGAGGCTTTGTTTCAAATCTTCTCAGGCAAGAAGGCACTCCCATTGCTATTTGCTTTCTCCCCAGTTGACTAGGAAGAGATGCAGAGCTGACTGCAGGTTTTAGACATATTTTAAGCAAACATTTATGCATCTAGTCAGCTTTACTGATGCAAACCTACCTGCATAGGTATTTTAGGCAATTCTGCTGTTAGGCAGCAGCTGCCTCTAGGGTTCAAGGATATGAATTTTTTTCAGTATCTATTAGACTGAACTTAATCCTCTTGAACACCTAGCCTGTATCATAAGTACTTAACACTCCTTCACTTATTGGAAGCTACCCCCTGTGTTTCAAGAGCAAAGCTTTTCTGTAAGGATGAGAAAGCTATGCTCAGCACCGGCCTAGAAGGAGCATATTCACTGCCCCATCTCTATTCTAGTTTAATTTGGGGGGTTAATGATGCAAGAATATGGAGGGACAGTCAGTTATAAAAAGGCTGATAGAAGCCCTTGCTCTATTAAGGGCTATGGAAATATTCCCATTCTCTTCCAGCTCTGCAAATTCAAGGAACTAGCTGTGGGGACATTTATTTGCATCTCACATGATATTGATGAATTATACAGTTGCAGAAAATTTTAAACTGTTCTTCTGGACCAGCAAAAGCCAACAGTATTATTGTAGAAGCACTAGCATCAAAGTCAATCTCTGGTATTGGCTGCAAAACCCAATGATATTACAGAAGCACTGGCATCAAAATTCATCTATGGTATTTGCCCCTTGACACTGTGAAGGAATGAGGTGGGTTAGGGAGGGCAGATTTAAATTCTGTTTCAGGTTTTTTATAACTGCTGTTGATACACAGGGATCTACTTCAGTGTATCTTCTGGCAACCCAAATTATGCTGGCTTCCTCAGTGGTGATATATGGCATTTGGGCAATACTAACCCTCTCAGAGCATCCATGAAACTGATATTCCATGCCAGTTTCTGGCACTGTATCTCAGCACCTCTTCCAAAATCAAAGTCCTCTGGTGTGCACAGCACAGAAGAAATGGATCTATATTGTCCTGCTTTATAGGCATTTTACTTTGATGTTATTTTCTGGTATTCAGGCAGTGCTGAGGGAAGACTGCGAGCTCAGCCTGTTCTCACTTTCAAGGAAGAAGAAGAATCCAACCAGCTGTGCACCAAGGTAAAATCTGAATCAGGCTTCTAGAAGTTATCAGATAATGTACTCATACGTTTATTTACAAAATGGGTTTGCTGCAATGCAGGCAAGAACCAAACCTTCTTAATCAAAAAAGATTAATGTGAGGGAAGTGTGCTGCAATGACTGGAGCTGCTAACATTTGAATGAGTCAGGGGATTTCACTGAGATAAGAGCATATGATTAGTATAACAAATATGCCAAAATTGTGGCGGGAAGGAAGGTTACAAATGCAAGTCTAGTTCTGCTGCTTTATGATATTGGAAGCAATTATTTACTAATTTTACTCTTCTTTCAGTATTTTGAAACAATATACTTTAGAAGTTTTCTATTTAACTGTCTTCCATTATTATTCATAACTCCAAGGCATCCAAACTCTTCAAACGTGGTTATGTTTTTGAATCTTAGTAAGTCCTGCAAGACATTCCACATCAAATTTTACAGCACCTATTATTTCTAAATTTACAACTGTAAAACTTCTCCTTAAAAAATGTGAGAAATATAGGTGGTCTTATCCTCCAGAACAAATAATAATAATAAAAAAAAAAAAAAACAAACCCTGCCTCAACCAATAAAATAAAACTAGAAAAAGAAAAATGGAAGAAATCTTTGATGTGAATAAGCTGAGAAAACCTTGAAGAGGCGTTTGTTTGAAGAATTTCTAAGTATACTGTCGGAATGGGAGTTGGAACAAAACTGTTGGAGACTGGTGAAACATGGTATCAAAACAAGGTCGTGTCTATGAACTGACAAAGAAGTATAACCAATAAATAATATCAATGAGAAGTAGGACATAGTATTAAGGTTACAAGTTCTTCATTAGATCCCTGAGTTAGCAAGGTGTTAATGCACAAATTTAGTTTTAAGAGTGTGGTTAAGTCTATGTAGTTCAGCATAGCACACACCTAACTTCAAGCACACGGTAAGATTTTTTTCTGAATTGATTCCGTTAACTCTCTCTCCTTCATTATTTCCAACTTGCCTTTGGTTGTCTCCTATGAATAGAAGCTCTACTTTACAGAGCACAGCTGCCACCTACTCCAAAGACACAGACTTTGAAAATGACAAGCTACTGAAAAAAAAAAAAAAAAAAAAAAAATGCAAAAAACCCAGCAGTAAAATACCTTTCCTTGGCAAACAGAAAACAAAAATCTGTATAGCATTCTCCAATCAGTGTAGTCAGTAGCTGCGGAAACTGGGTAAATGAATTAATGGTTAAATAGGCAGCCATCAATTCCCCCATTCTAATGGGGAAATACAAGGACAAAAGAAAGAAAATAAGGTATAAGTGGCAGCTACCATTAAGATTCTGTGGTGCATTCTGTAGTTTATAGCATGTAACATGCCAGGATGGTTTCTGAGTGCATCTGGAATATTAAGCAGGAATAAAAGAAGAAACACCACTCTGAACTAAAAGTTAAATAATTATCTGTTGAGTGTTACAACTGAGAAGGAGCCACTTCCACATACTAACAGCAGATGTCCTGCATCATTATTGGAATACAGGACTCCGTTATCATTCCATAGGATGGAAAACTAGCCACCAATACTATTGCTTCGACTGCATATGGAGGTTGATCAAGGGTCTGCCTTCTCTCTTAGTTGAGTGCTTCTTCAGTAGAGCAGCTGCACCCTGCTTTTAACAGGTGGCATTGATGTATCTGAGATAAAAAAGGGAAATTATTAGCAATACCATCTCAGACCCTGGTGCTTTCTGCTACCAAGAGCTCAGAGGTGAAGAGTAGAGTGTGACTCATGAGTCCTGTGACTGCATTTTCTTTATGAGATCAGAGAGGATATAACTAACATGAACTTTTTCAAAGTTTAGTTGTGCATGCTAAGTTGTAGAGAAGTCTGAAGACTGTATTGTTATGAATATCATAAATACAGCTGATGGGGCTTTTTACTCCTAGTAGACACAGAAATGCCGAATCAGAGTTGCGTACTTTGTAAAATATAAAGTGGAAATTGGAAGGTGGAAACTATTCTATTTTCCCTTTCCTTTTTGAGTGAAGGACACATTTTTGTCAGATGTACCTAAGAAAGAATGGTGATGAAAGTAACTATATTCTAGATGTTTCTGTGTACTGATTTTTCACAGCTTTTTCTTCTATTAAACCTGCAGGATCCAGAAAGTACACACAATTCACCTCTGCGAGGCCAGCTGGCTGGACAAGACTATAAGGATATCTTTCATAACATTTCAAAGAGGTAAGTCTTTCAAATGCAATAAAACTTTTAAAATAAATAGTACAGATAACTCATTCTTATATACCCAGAGCTGTCCTAGTATGGTATGCAAATGCATTCATGTGCCAAATGACAGAAATACAGTTCTATTGGAATGGAGCTCCATCTGCAGCAAGAGTTGCTAAACAGCTTCCACACAACTACCAAGACAAACGAAATGTAAGCTTCTAGGTGTAACAGCTCATGTAGACTTTGTAGCTGAGGTGGAGAGAGAACAGTGGTAGCACTACCACATTGGTGTAGACAGGGTCTCCATGGGTTTTACTACATGTTTCAAGCAGGTCTTGCAGCAAGGCTAGACCATGTGCTACTACGGCTGTAGTTATACAGAAGGTGAACTCGAGACATCTGGGAATCAAGAGAATTTGAGTATGTTACTTCAACAAAGGTAAATAGTACAAGAAAAGAAGATTTTTACTTCAAATTTTAAATCTACAGTACAATGGGAAATCAAAGAATAATGGAATGTTGATAAGACAGGCAGTTTAGTCTGCTATAATGATGCAGAATATATGAAATATTTTCCTTATCTTTTATAACCCCCAAATGGAAAAAAGGACTAAATATTTACATTTGAAACTTAAAATTTTGTGAGAACAGTATTTGGCCAATTAATTAGAGAGGAAAATCTTCCCTAACTTAACTGCTTGCAGAGCTAAAACAAATCTTGAGAGCATCTGCAAGTGAGTTCACGTATCATCTGTGTAAGCATAGGCTCAGTGCTTCTCTCTATTATATCAGGTGTGATTATTATTAAATTATCTTGCTCTGTGTGCCAGATGCATAAATACATCTATGGCTAAATCAAAGTGACCTTATCATATATTCAGATAACACATCTTTTCTGGTTGTTTTCTTAACAGGACGGTCTTCTGACTTCTGTCCTGTGATCTGAATCTTTTCACTACCAGTAGTTTCTGGTATTTCTATTTTCTATTTGCAAAAGCTTTATGTAACTTGAATGTGCAAAGCCTGCAACAGTTACTGATATTTGCAAAGGTGCTACTTATCGTACTCTCCCTCTTAAGTGTACCTTTTACTATTTCTGACATTATGTATTATGATCATACACAGGATAGGATAAGGTAAGACTGTCATATGCTTAAGCCTACCAACATAGTTAAGTTAGGTCTGAGGGTTATTGGAGTTAGCTGGTAAAGGAATATTTGACCCATTCTGCACACATTATAGTTGTATTCTGGACTGCAGGTGTATCTCCTACATAAAGCATTTAAGTGCTCTAGAATTTTCTAAATACTTCAGGAAACAGTAACAAGCAAGGCCTATTTAGCTATGATTGCCTAACAACTGAAAAATGTCATACATGAAAAACTGTCTACACCTGTGACAAACCTTACTTCTAATCATTTTTGTGCAGCTTTTTACACAAAGCATGTTCTTATCTCTTTGAAAAAATAAAATACTACATTAGATAGTGTTTTTCACTAGCTATATTTGCACTCCTCCAGACGCAATGCTACTGTTACTCTTTGAACTTATGTTCTTCACAGTAATTCTTGAAAATAGTTGCTCAAGAAAGTTAAAAGAGAAAAAAAATAGGTTAAAACCAAAACCTTTCTACGGTTCAGATTACCAAAGCTTCTGCTGTGTCCATAAGACCGTTCAACTAATGCTGTTTTACAGGTCACAGAAATATGCAGAATGTGAAGGCTGCAGAAGAGAGAGTCAGCAGTCTGAGTCAGACAGCTGGAATGATGAAGATGACGATATGCCCCACAGGATTTCTGTTCTACCTAGAAGTAATCATGCAAAAACTTCTCTTATTTCTTTAACTTTATAGGCCAGCTCCTCCATATATGTACAGTGAGAACAACATTAATCTCTTGTATACAAGCTAAGAATTTTCTCTTTGTGTCTCAAAGACCAGGGAACTCAAGACACAATTTTTACCACTGATGCATATGAAGGCCATCAAATCTTTGCAACATCCACAAGAATGTGGAGCTCCTACATCAGGAGCTCTCCAACACTTTTGGAGAACCTAGAAGGAAGGAACATGAGTCTGAATGTAGTTAACTGAACCCAGTGAGGGCAGCTCTGCTGGCCATCACGCACTTGCCACTGCTCTGAGCACCTCTGCTTTGGAACTCCAGTTTCAAAAGGACAAGCAACTTTTTATTTTTATTTTTCGGGGCGAGGGGTGGTGGTGTGTCTTTTGTTTTAGTTTTCGGTGGGGATTTTTTTTTCTTTTTGAAATTTCACATCCTTCCACAAATGAAAATCTCTGAATACCTTGATTATATGCAATTAAGTGTACAGACTGAGCAAATAAGAGGAAAAGAAAGTTATTGAATTAATTTGAGCAACATCGTGACTTTTGCTCAAATCACGCACTGTTATATAGTGCAAATAAATGACACATTGCCTCAGTGGCTGAACAGAGCATTGCTCCTTGTCTTCAGCCTACAACAAACCTGTGGAACATATCATCAGGTTTTCTTTGAGACAGCTGGCGTGTTATTCTTTGCCAACAGCAGCCCTTGACTAAAAGGACAAATCCCATAATTCCTCTGCCTCAAACCACTATTTTTTATCAAACAAGCCACTGTTTTAATTCTACATGGTAACAAAGTTTTTTTAATTGCTCCAGTAATGATATTTCTGGAGAGATGTTTATTAATTTTCTTAACCTGTCAAGTTTTCAATCAGAAACATATCAAGAACATATACTTCAGGATGAGCTAATTAGTAAAACCGAATCCTGATTTTGGTGCATTAAAGATATTTCACATCTTGTTCTTGAAGGGGAGTGTGAGGTAAGAGATAAAGAACAAAAGATATTTTCTTACTTCAGGGAGGAAGAATTTGCAGTGATTATTCCTAGCAGTGAGGCACGTCAATACTAATTTTCAGGAAAGTGTTGGAAACATGAAGATGATTCCCTGTGAAGATGTGGCCAGAGTCTCCTAGACCAATATAAACTAGCATAAAAGTTTACAATTCTACAAGAACAGTTTATTTAGAGAACAGACTGTATTTAGAAACTGTATGAGGCAATAAGTTGCAATACTTGCATCTGCTTCCAAGTTACATGAAATGTGGTGCTGGTTGAATCCATGGTGCTGACTTAGTCTTCTTTCTGCTGTGAACACAAGTAAACCAAAAATACTTTTCACATTTCACTTCCACAGTATAAGCATCAAGATGTACTTAACTACTGCAACCCCTTAGTTTTTAAAGCCAAAACTTTGCACTATGAACAATAATAATTAAAAATTCCTTTTTTTTTTTTTTTTTGGTTGATCTATAGGCAGAACCTTTGCTTCTGGAGACGAACTTACTCAGTTAATTAACTTTAAACCATCACTGACTGGAGTAGATCCAAGGATTGGCATCTCAGGTCTTATTCAAGGTCTTCAGTTGCAGATTGAGAATCAAGAGGTGTTAAAGGAGTTTATGGTAAAGTGTGATTCCTTTTTAAGATCTGACTGTTTAGCAGAGCTAAGAAAGTGACTTTTAGCAGCTTTCCGCATACTGTATGGGAGATCAGCTTGTGTATCTTTACTGACTCCACTTTCTCAGAATTATTCCAGCCAGAATGGGGCTTCTACTCAGGTGTTTGAATGATGCTACAGTATTTGGATCTCTCTCTTTCCATGCAGGTCAGGCTTACACTGTTAGCTGCCCAAAGATACTGTCCACATGGAATGAAGAATAAGTAATACACAAAAGTAGATTATGAATCACTTTTTCCTAGACTGACTTCTTCCTGTTACCCCCTCAGCTCTGCTGAACATCTGCCTAAAAACTACTCGAGAGGTTGCACTAAAGCAAGAATCCCATGCTGCTAGGGATTCACTAGTGTTGAAACACTTAGTTGATGAAAGGAATGTGTTTCACACAATGCTCCAGTGATATGTGGAACTCATTGACACAAGATGCTATTAAGGTCAGGAACTTTGTGAAATAATTAGAAAGGAAAAGTAACATACCTCCATAGATAATGAAAACACATAATTGCATCTGATGGCATATAAATAATAAAAAAGTATAAAATTAGGAAAGCATATAAGATTTATTGTTTCAGGATATAAACAGAGTACCCAGTTATCAGCAACTTCAACACAGTAGTGGAATTTTCTTTAAAGGATGTACTCATTACCAGTGAAATAGATTGCTATCACTTTTTCGTAGCAATTACAATGTTATCAGTTTCTTTCACTTGCTTTTCCTTCTCTGACTTTCTGGGTACAAACTCACACAGGCTCAATCATATAGGATTTGCTGACTTTCCCTGAAGGCTCAAGGGCATGTATTAGTTTCCATCCATTCCATTTTGTTACTCATGTAGGCACAGCATACTATGAGCCGAGTCACACATCTGCACAGAAAATGTAAATATCTAACAGGGAAAGCACTGATGATCAAAGCCAATGGATATTTTATCTGGGTAAATGCCGTAGTAACTGATGAAGATGTTAAAGAACTGTCACGTGTATTTCAGTCCACATACACTGTGTAGTGGCATAATGTGACAGCTGAGCATTGTGCAATGGATACCAAAGAGGTAAAAGAATAAAGAAAAGTGAAGGTAACTCAAAACTGTAAATGAAATTAACTTGCACATTCTTGCTTCCAGTTACACTGCACCCTGCTCCACTAAATCGCTAAGCACTTAATGACCGTACGATTTGCACTTAACATCATTGACACTCTTCCCTACATCCATCCCTTCCTCTATCACTGGAAAGTATTCACTGGCATTCACTACCTGTTAACAGTGCAATAGCTTGTGCTTTAGTTAGTATGTTCTCAGTTATGAACGCTGAAATTTGGCCAAGATGCTATTTCAAATATCTATTTTACATCAATATACAACAGGGATTTGTAATGACAGGGGCTGATGATGTCAGTGGGAAATCTCACTTGAAAAACCCCAGAAATTTTGTGCAGGCTGAAGAAAACACAAAGCGATTTTAATTCCTTGCCTAGAAGGTTGAGGATGATATACTGATTCTCTTCTGTAACAAGTCTATTTGCCAGTCTTGGGTCACATATAACAATAAATTTTGCTCACACTGATTCTGTAAAGGTTGTCTATAAAGGATGTGAACAAAATGGATTGACTATTTCTCTTCGATCCAGGCTTTAGAACATGTGAAACCAACAGACGACTGCAGAACTGGCAAAGCACTGGAAAACCAGCATAAAAATAGATACCGAGACATCCTTCCATGTAAGTATGCACATTAATGAGAACATACATTCAATGAACAAAGACATTGGAAAACAGAAAAACAGTTATAACACTGAGATGTAGGAGTTGCAAATCCCACCACATCCTTAGTCACAGAATGCTCCACTAATAACGAAATGTGTTGAAATTTCGCAAAAGAGGTAGAGTTCACTTAAGGATGACTGCATTGCACAATACATAATTTTCTGAAGTATCATCTTCCACAAGGCAGCACTTGCTCTGGCAGGGGGGCAGTTATCTTGGTGTTTCCTTCCCTCTTTCTCATACATATTGATCTCCATTTCTGTGGGCATCTGTAACTTGAGCTATAATAGCAGTTCTTTAAATATATTTAAATGTACAGCTACATCTACTGCTCGTCACACAGTGGAATTCTGAAAAGTACAGTGGAAATCATGGAGTTGCATAGCTCTTGGAAAGATAAAGATTCTTTCAGAAGTATTTGAAGGCATAATATCCAACCAGAGCTTTCAGCTGCTCTGAGTCAGAAAAAAAAGTTTTGTCACTGATGAGAAGTCCTTCCTTTAGAAGGAAGATTTGACTCCAAGAGCTGAATAACTGCTGATAACAAGAATTTCCAAAAAATAACGTACTGCCCAATGATTCCCTGAGAGGTATCACAACAGAAGGAAAAGTTTCAGGACCCTTGATGCATTTCTAAACTGCAGCAGCAGGACAACACATGCAAAATTTGTAGCACAGTTAAGCTCTCTGTATTAGCGATACAGTATACATTCTCAGAAGTTTCCTGTTCTATAATACCAATATCCAGTGATATGTTCCCACACTGTACATTAAAAGTAGTGTTGGAAACACTATTTTGAATTGCTGCTAAACAATTCTATAGTAACTAGAAGGCTTGTAACTGTGTTACACAAGTGTCTCGAGAAATAAAGCTACAGTGAACCACACGATATGTCTGTGGGAATCCCTATTAGCGGTGATTAATATTAGTGCTACTAGCCAAATATATTCTAAAATCCAGAGGCATACTTTGCTCCTAGAGGCTGAGGTTCCCCATCTCCTGAGCAATAGAGATGGTAGAACTACAGACCTACAGCTGAAATAGCAACTTTCTGTTTCTGTACAGATGATAAGACACGAGTTCCTCTGGGAGAAAAGAATGGCTACATTAATGCAAGTTACATTAGAATGAAAGTTGGAGAAGAGGAACATTTCTATATTATAACCCAAGGGCCTCTTCCTTCCACTATCGCTGATTTCTGGCAAATGGTCTGGGAGAGCGAATCAGATGTGATTGCCATGATGACAAAAGAAGTGGAGCTAGGGCAAGTCAAGTGTCATCGATACTGGCCTGAACCTCCCCATGACTCTATAGACCTGGCTAATTTTCGTCTCAGGCTAGACAGCTACCGGATTCTGGGATACTTCATCATTAGAACAATAGAAATGATCAATAAGCAGGTAAGTTGAGTAGACTTAATACGTTCATGTATGTTGAAACTGATTAGCTATTTTACATGAGTAAATACTAGTATTATTCTTTGCTTCTTCTGTAACATTTACTCAGAATTTTTTGGGAATGCAAAAGTCTGAATAAGAGGTGTGATATTTGGGTTAATGAAATGCTTCTTCTTTGCTCATTGCACAAGCCATGGACCCAACATTACATGTATTTGGACAAGAATGTCCAAAAAGTACTCCTTTAATAGTCACAGAGCTGGTGTGTTCAGTGTTTTACAAATTGCTTACTGTTCTCATAAAATCAAGTCAGTAAGGCCTGCCAGAGTGGATTAATATTGTATAATGGTGGCTGAATTTGAGGTAGACAACATCCACTGTTCTCCCCTCATCTACCCAGCCAGTCATGCCATCATAGAAGGCTATCAGATTGGTCAAGCATGATTTTCCCTTGGTGAATCCATGTTAACTACTCCTGATAACCTTACTTTCCTCCACATGCTTAGAGATAACATCCAGAATGAGCTGTTCCATCACCTTTCCAGAGATGGAGATGAGACTGACTGGCCTGTGGTTTCCTGGGTCATCCTTCTTGCCTTTTTAAAGATTGGAGTGACATTGGCTTTCCTCCAGTCCTCAGGCACCTCTCCTGTTCTCCGTGACCTTTCAAAGATGGAGAGCAGCTTAGCAATAACATCTACTAGCTCCCTCAGCACTCATGGGTACATCCCATCAAGGCCCATAGATTTGTGGGTATCCAGTTTGCCTAAATGATCTCTAACTTGATCCTCCTTGACCAAGGGGAAGTCTTCCTCTCTCCAGACCTCCTCTTTTACCTCCAGGGTCTGGGATTCCTGCAGGCTGGCCTTACAGTAAAGACTGAGGCAAAGAAGGCATTCAGTAATTCTAAATCTGTATCCTCTGTCACCAGGGTACCCACTTCATTCAGCAGCAGGTCTGCATTTTCCGTAGTCTGTCTTTTGCCATGATGTACTTGAAAGAAGCTCTTCCTGTTATCCTTGGCATCCCTTGCCAGCTTTACCTCCAAAGGTAGACAAACAGTTGGCTAACAATGAGGCTGAAGGAAAATTTATCAGTGGAATTCCTTGACAACTGGCCTTAGGACTGATCAATTTTAACATTTCTGGTCTTTCTCTTCCAGACAGAAGAGAAGCGCATTATAAGTCATTTGCAGTTTACCACTTGGCCGGACAACAATACTCCAAAACTGGCTGAGCAGCTTGTAAAATTTATTTGTTACATGAGAAAAGCTCACAGTACAGGACCTATTGTTGCTCACTGCAGCACTGGCATTGGAAGAAGTGGAGTTTTGCTGTGTGTTGAAGTTCTGCTCAGCTATATAGAAAAACATTTATGTGTAAGTATCAAAGAGATCATAATTAAGTATCACAGGTTAGTATGGATGTCAACAACATGTGGGTGTATCGTACACCAGAGTAATTCCTGGTAGAATTCATCCTTACAAAATGAAATAAACCCAGCTTTTGTTGTTTTAAACAAAAGATAATAACTGCAAATATACTACTTGTAAAAGAACAGAGTCACAGCTTCCCCATCTGAAAATGTTTAAATCTTTCTTTATAACTTCCATGTCAACAAAATAAACACTCTTCTCTTCTGATAGTTCAACATCAAGCAGATAGTGAGAGATTTGAGAGATCAGCGTTCTGGCATGATCCAAACTAAGGTAAGTTCTCAATATTCAACTAGATTATGACTTTTAAAAGCACAATTAGTGGTACTTATCCACATGCTTTGATAAATGTGGGGCTTAAAGCATAACTTTAGCCCTCTCATTTGAGGAAAATAACTGCCTTCCAAGAAAGTGGAAGATTTAAATATGAAAGGTCTGTCTCTTACTAATTAATTGAAATAAAAGCAAAGCACCAATATAGTACAGATACCAGCCTCCCCCCCCAATTTTTTTTTTTTTTTAAGCAAAAAGAAAAGCAGGAATCAACAACAAAACCAGTGAGATACCATAAACTCTACCCTGCAAAATTGCGGCCTTCAGCTGAATTCTTGCTATTGATGAGTTATCATTACCTCAGTAAACCCTTCCACTGCCAAGTTAAACCCGCCTCTGAAAAGAGTTTTCACATAGGAAAAGACAAGATGTGGCTAACTCCATTTAGAGCAAACACATGGTGGGAAGAAAAGCAAGACAAGACTAGGATAAGTTCTCCTTATATGCAAATATTCTACCACATGTTTTGATATATTTTCTTCAGGGTAATGAGTGAGCATGTGATTGAAATTAAGCAAATAGATAACCTTCAATGACATAAATGAGACTTGAGCACATGCTTACAGGTACTGCATTCCTGAACTTTTACAAGTGATGGAACAAAAAGAGTAAGGGTACTCTTAAATATCTAAGACTTTGTATTCATGTTACAAATATGTTGATGTTATAAACAGCACTTCAGCCAGTCCATCCTTCTTTGTCTAGAATCTATGTTGAATGTAACCAGGTGTTTCACATTGATGTCTCTGCGTACAGGATGAGTATTTATTCTGTTACGAAGTTGTGCTGGAAGTCCTTCAGAACCTTCAAGCAACGGATTCCTACTGACTGCAGTATGAGTCTTCCTTGTTGCTATTTCCCTTGGACTCCAGGGATTGCTTTAAAGAAAAGTCAAGCCAGCACAGACAAGTGTTATATTATGTGCTTTGTTAGATTACTCTTGATTTCTAAGGCATTTCAAAACCTTGCTTAACATGTCCTGGGTAAGTCATTTAAACCTTGGCTCACAGTTTGGAGAAACAGCCAACCAGCACTGCAATACTGCTGTTAAATTGCCATGGACAATTTTGTGTGTCCTGTATAATAACATAATTGCTGGGAAAATATTTTGGGACTGTGTCAAGAAGATAGCAGCCTTTGAAATTAGCTTTACTTTCCAGAGGGCAACTACAAAGATCTAAGATCCTGCTGGCATTGGTGGAAGATCAGTTATCCCTTGCATATTCTTGTGCACTATTGGCTTCTGGACTACATATCAGTATTTTCTACAGTAGTTATGCTTTTGTGTGGGAGGACTCAATTTATTTACCTTTGGTTGCTTGAACAATGTAGAACCATTTCCAGTCATCACTCCAGCCCATGAATTTATACCACCATCACTAGACATCTTAAACCAAGAAACTGTCAGAAAAACAGAATGCCTTTAAACCCTAGTTGGTTCTCTTCAAAGCGGGAAGAGCATTCTTATAATTGGATGCAATATTAATTTTTCCCAGCAATATGAACAGCTGTAGATAGCATCAGTATTCTTTCATTCTGCATCCATGTAAAAAGGAATGCAATACTAAGCCAGATGAAATGACTGTGTGTATTGTGACATGCATATACATTTCATCTTCCCTTGATCCTTTCCATTGATTAATTATTTTGTAATTCTTATCTAGGATATGAACCAATCTATGGGAATTCCCACTGGCTTAGTAGGGGCTGAATCAGATCTTTAAATCAGAGTAAATAACTCTGTACAGTTTATTTCTCTTGTAAAATGTGTTTCTTAGTGTGAATTTGAGCAGAAGTCTGCTCTTCAAGTTCGTGAGATTGTACTTGCTTCTATAGTACTACTCCTAAGTCCTTTATCTAGAAGGTGATATGTATGGAAGTGAAGTTATTAGATAAGCATTGGAAGAGTAACTTTTAAACATAGGAAATAACAGCATTTAACTGAATTGTACATATTTTTTAAACTTCTTTGATTTCAGGAAAGGAGAAAATATTAAGATGTATTTGAATATAAAACTGCAGTAGAAACAAGACAATAAAATAATTGTTTATTTTAATTACAAATGAAAGGTTTATAGTTTGGAAAGAATGAGGGATTAAATACAAATTTAAAGTAGGACTTTTAGAAAAAGCCACTGTAACACAATTATAATTAAGGCCAAGGGCCATTTTTTCCTTTCTGCCCTCAGACAGTCTGCTGGAAGCCAGGAAAAGATAGAAATGAAATTTATAAATTGAGCCAGATGCTAATTCCAAACATATTGATAGAGATCCAGAGTAACATTAAATTAGTGGAGTAACCCTCAATTTATACGGGTATAAATAAACAGAACTCAGTGTTTTGTCTTTAATTAATTGAATTTGAGCCTCCCCAGACCCATTAATCACCGCACGTTCTGCATTTACCGTCTTTGTCACATAAAAGGATTATTTACAGTTTTGTCAAGTGTCATCAGCCAAATTTTTATTCATAACCCTGTTACTTTCATTTGGTATTTGGCCTTTCACTTTGATTTTAACTACTGCACATGTACTACTATGCAAGAAATTCACTACACTGCACATGAATGCACAATTCACTTTTTGCACCACAACTTTAAAAAGCTTCTCAGTGAAAATATTCCTGTACTTTTTGCAAAGGTGTTTTTTCTGTGGTTTAGACCAAGCATTCTGGACAATCTTTATGGCATTATTTGTTCTTCCACATTTGTGCATCATCTTTGAAGCTGTTTGACAGAAATGTCTGCTGTTTGACAGAAGTGTTTCCTATTTTACAGGGATATTAAAAAGATTTCTGAAAACACTGTATTTCATTTAAATTTCTTTTTATGAAAAAGCAGCTGTAATACTTAACTACTAACCAGTAAGAGCTCTAGGGAAAATAATCTTTTATTAATTGGGGTTTATATTTAAACTTCTCTAAAAGCAGATTTTGTGATGATGGTACCTTTTGTACATTCCCCTGAAGTAGGTATTACTGACCTCTGAGACATTCTGCTACATCCCATGTTCTTATCCTTTAGGGACATAATAATTAAATGTTTTTAAACAGATACTATGGTTATGGTGCCCATAACAACATCCTCACTCAGACTGAACTTTTGTTTTGGATAAGACATACACTTTTACAAAGATCTAGTCCTCTAAGACTGCTAGCAGAATAAGACAAAACAGAACTATCCTTCCAGATATTTCATAATCTGTTATAGAACAAGGAAACCTTCACCCACAGAAAGTCTCAGAGCCTCTCAAACCAACTTTGGGAAGAAGCAGATAGACGTAATCTGCCACATGCTGGCAACAGGCCCTCCATCTGTCACAGTCTTGGAGCAATCCTACAGAGCAAGTCTCTCAATCCACAGCCTGGAAACATTTCAAGAAAACTGCAGACCTGCAAGAGTTCTGCACATGTTTGAAGCTAGAGGCTGGTCACCTCAGTACTAGTACCACTCATGAGGTCCACTGCTGACAGCCAGCCTACACAGCAGGTAAATTTTGAGGATGGAAAGACTGAAATAGTAGGCGCAGCTTCCTTCCTACAACAGACACCATGTATGGAGAAATACACAGTGAGTCACCACCAGAAAGTGCTTAGCAGATGCGGCTGCTGTATATGCTTTCTTTGGAGATGCTAAGGAACCAACTGTTCTCAGCTTCACCTTTTAAGGTAGGATTCAGGGATTCAACTTTCAACCCTGCTGCAGATTTCCTGAATAAACCAAACCACTTAAATAGGATCTCTGCACCTCACAGGTTTCTTCTTTTACACTGCACTACTGGGGTACACTCATATCCTTTATAGACAGGGCCACTGAGCGCAGAGTGTGGATAAACCGAGAACACTTAGAAGACTGTTAAGAAGCATTTAAGTATAGGGGAGTCTGGCTACATCCAGCAGCTCATACACCATTTCCCCCCATACACAGCACAAATAAGAGTCTCCCCTCTGAGTTCTTTATTCATGCAAAACTCCCATGGAGATCAAGGCTCTTTGAGATGCACTTATTTGGTCTGTGAGATAACCCGCTCCTTAAAGAGCTCACATTACTTGACAAGTCAGGCTAAACTGGAAAGAAAGGAAGATCTACTGTCCCTTTTTGTTCATAGGGAATCGAGGCAGGGGCTGGCGATTTGTCCAATGTCTACAGAGTTTTTGCAAAACTCAGGAACTAAACCCAGATGATAGAAGCTCCTATTCTGTGCCTACATGTGAAAGTATCTTTCCTCAGTCTGAAAAAAGGATGTACTGCTCTGGCCCATTTCTGATGAAATATTATTTAGCATATAAAGTGGTCTGACTGGAACTTACACACATGTAAGAGATGTATTATGCTACAGAACTTCAGTCTGTGCCTGTAGTCACACTGCTTACTTCCAAAGTGGCACTGAGATCACTATTTCCATTTCTAAGTCATGTTACTCTACTGCCTAGTCATCAATAAGGACAAGCTGCAGTACAAATGCAAACAAAACCAACACATTTTTTGGAGGCAGTGCCTGCCATAACAATCACTCAAAACAGTCCTCAGATTCACACTATAGCACAAAACCTTGGCAGTGACACTATGTTCAAATGGTAGCTCTTTCCATGGAACAGCACATCTTGTCATCTCACTCTGGGAAGCAACCATTTTACTGCCATCAAGACTGCTCCTATTTTTTTTATTTCTACCATTTTATCTCGATTTAAAAGCAAACATAGTAGGACAACCATCTCATAGTATTAAGTTACAAAATCATGTGAGCAGGGGGAAAACAGTGTCCCTATTCTTTCTTTTAACATCTTCCTTGAGGTCCATGGACTCAGGACTGCTTCATGCTGATGGCTCTCTGTAATACACCATTTGCAACGGCAAGACACCTTAAAATACCCACACATGCCAAAATGGCTGCTATTGGCTATGAGAACATTGTCAGGTTTGAATAATTGACTTTAAAAA